CTAGACTAACATATAGTCTCTGAAATGAACATATCATACAGAAAAAAACAGAAAATAACAGTTGTTCAGTTATCTTAATAAAAATCTAATAAAAAGGGAGCCCAGTGATTCTCAGTACTCTAGACTTGCCAAACATTATAGACTTGCATGGGCTGTAGTTGATATAAATGTATCAGGGTCTGTAAGACAGACTAGAAAAGTACCTAAACTCGTGTATGTATGATTGTTCTGTAACTGAATGAATTTTGCAAAACATACCAATATTGCATTTTCACTGTGAACTATATACATGTATACCTATACATGTACATGGTATGAGGTTGTAATGTATAGTAACATTTTATTAACCCTACATTATTGTGTTATGCAACTTAAACTTTTGGATATGGAATTAGATGCTTTTATACAGTTTTAATTCAACAATCAGTGAACAATGTACCTGTTTCAGTGACGGTGAATTCTGCGACTATGTTGCTGCTGCCCTTTATGCTTTAGTTGACATCTCAGAAAGGAAACTTGAGAGATTGCATGCATCAACTTCAAAGTGAGTGAGTGAGTGAGTTGGGTTTAACGCCGCTTTTAACAGTATTCCAGTCATATCACGGCGTGTCAGCTTAATGTGGGAGGAAAGCCCGAAGTGATGCAGGTCTCAGACGTTTACCACTTCGGTGAAACCCACGAGCACGGGTATAGTGCTGACAAATCTATAAACATAATCGGGGCGAACCGGGATTCGAACCCACAATCCTAGGTTTCTGGCGTGCCCAAGGGACGCAACTCTGCACAACGCATCGCGGCGCCTTAGACGACTGGGACACCCGTGCCCACTCAACTTCACAGGAATGCAAGTGTGACCAGCCCAGAAAACGCATATTGAGCCCGGTTAAATTATAAGATATGACAAAACACAAGTGGACAGAACATAAAAAGATATCAACAATTTCAAAGCAAGATGCTACTTACGCAAGTTGTAAATCAACTGTAAACCAATAAATGTGGATAGATTTGCTGCAAAACTTTGTGAACGTGCTCAATCTGCAGAGTCGTTACTGACTCACGAATCTGTTGTCAATGTGGCTGAAGAAACAGATGTAATAGTACCTTCCCTTCACTCAAGTCGTTTTCAACTATGCAGACATCTGTGATTTGAAAAGAGAGGAGTGTGCCAGATATTTTTCACGGTATTTCAGTGATTTGTGCCTCTCAGAAGAAGAATACATGAACAAGCAAACAATGAGTTGTGGAGCTCAGCAATGGAAGGCCGATTAACCTCTTCCAAATTGGGGCTTGTTTGTAAACTGAAACCATCTGATAACCACCCTCATAATGTAGTTAAGTTTGGTTTGTTTTTATTTATTGTTTGCAATATTCCAGCTATATGACGGCGGTCTGTAAATAATCGAGTCTGGACCAGACAATCCAGTGATTGACATCATGAACATTGGTCCATGCAATTGGGATCGATGACATGCATCAACCAAGTCAGCGAGCCTAACTACCCGATCCCGTTAGTCGCCTCTTACGACAAGCACAGTCGCCTTTTACGGCAAGCATGGGCTGCTGAAGACCTATTCTACCCCGGATCTTCACGGGTCGATAATGTAGTTAAGTCCATTTTTTTATATTTATCATTCGACTATGATGGTGTAAAATGGGGACGTAATCATGAGCCCACTGCAAGGCGAAAATTTGCAAATCTGCAAAAAGATAACTCATCTCGGATCCATTGCCGATGATATTGTTCAGATTGGAAATGAAACTGGAAATTAAGTGTGATGACAAGTGGCGACTTTCCACTATACATGAAGCTGCAGAAGATCCTCAGTTCTGTTCTTCACTTCCGGCAGGAGAAATTCATTTGAGACTAAACCATACATATTACTACCAATTACAAGGACAAATGGCTTTTTCCCAGATGAAGAGGTGTGATTTTTGTCATGTGGACTCTTTATAGACTGTCACGTGGATAGGATACAGTTTGATTCAAAGTTCTGGAAGGGTTGCATCAATACACTGAATGACTTTTACATCAAAGCCATTCTGCCAGAGCTTCGTGTGAAACGAGGAAAGCATTTGTATGGTGTGTAACTGACATAAACGGTTCGCACATCAACCCAATCAGATGATATCTAAAATGAAAATGCAGCAGCATAAAAGGTGGGTGCTGTAGGTGGTTAACTTTATTTTTTTTAAACTATGTGTATGTGGACTCGTCACTAAAGACAGTGTTCATTCTACTAGCTCAACAAAATGTAGAACTCTCTGGGCCCATTGAAATGGGATCATTTTGAAAATAAGGAAGACACAACCATAAAAAAGCCTTAAAAGTTTAATTCAATTATAACATCATTAATATGCACGTTTTACAAATCTGAATTGGAATTATTTATCCTGGACAGGATTAGTTAAGTGTTTCACATAACGATGCAAACAGTCTTCTGTCTTTTCCCTTTCCAGTCACATTTCATGTTTGTGAAATGAACACTGTTATGAAAGATGAAGAAGGGTCTTATGACAAGTCTGTCTAAAATACCTGTCTAAAAACTTACGTCTGTTTGTCTTTTCCATCACTTGCTGTTATCGTTTAGTTATGGACAGTTGTAGAATCCAGTCCCCGGCATGTGACATATCAGAAGATTTCATTTAAACGTAATGGTTGGTACATCAATGTACATGCTGTTCCTCTCCATGATGCTGGCATTGAAAGGGATAAAGAAGGGACTGGTTCGCTCAGTCAGTATGTGTCCCAAGTGTGTGCGTGAGTTAGCAACTGAACTAACACTATTTTTAATGTTAAAACTCCAAGCTAGCACATTCAACAGTTTAGAAATTGGCACCAGTCCTATAGTCCTTGTCAAACTGCCCAATAGTTACGATATCATTAGGACTTATAGGAATGTGCCCTTTGGGGGTTTCGCTATGTGTTATCATTATAAGGACCAGTGGATTAAAACTGTTTAGTTTTTATCTCTGTGTAACAAGATCCCAGTATGCTCGGCATCTTAACAGCGGAAAAGAGTGAGTGAGTGAGTGAGTTGGGTTTAACGCCGCTTTTAACATTATTCCAGTTATATCACGGCCTGCCAGCTTAATGTCCGCGGAAAGCCCGAAGTGACGCAGGTCTTAGACGTTTACCCCTTCGGTGAAACCCACGAGCACGGGTATGGTGCTAACAAACCTAGAAACATAATCGGGGCGAACCATGATTCGAACCCACAATCCTAGGTTTCTGGCGTGCCCAAGGGACGCAACTCTGCACAGCGAATCGCGGCGCCTTAGACGACTGGGCCACCCGTGCCCCCTGTTTCGCAATAAGATATCTCGATGTTATCATATTTTATTCTGGTATCTCTAGAATTTAGACGGTTCATAAGTTTGGGAAAAACACTCGGGCTACTCACTCACTCGCGGTTTTACATTTTCAATCAAAACCCCGAAGTCGTATTTATTCTTAACATACAGTATGGAAAGGGTTTTATCGCTTATATTTATTGACAACACGATCTCGTTATAGATAGACAGCCGCTGTCGATCATAGAAATTCATTAAACTTACGGAAGGATAAACACGGTATAACCGTCATTTTTTTATGTAAATCGAAAACACTGCCCAACCCGAATGACGGAATGTACAGAAGTCATGTTTGTTAGAGAAACGTTACGTCAAGTAGGGACACTTTGAAAATAGGCCGTCACAGTGTCGGAATAAATGATACGACTTCATCAACTGTGAGACAGCAGGAACCGACTTGACCCATATATGAGACAAATAGGACCGACTTGACCCATATTTGAGACAGTTGGAACCGACTTGACCCAAATATGAGACAGTTGGAATCGGCTTGACCCAAACATATGAGACAACTGGAACCGACTTGACCCAAATATATGAGACAACTGGAACCGACTTGACCCAAATATATGAGACAACTGGAACCGACTTGACCCATATTTGAGACAGATGGAACCGATTGGCCCATATATGAGATAGCTGGAATCGACTTGACCCATATATGAGAGAGCTGGAATCGACTTGACCCATATATGAGACAGTTCGAACCGACTTGACCTTACGTTTATAATTGTATCATATATTCATACGTTTCTCATGAGACTGTATTCTTGAAATGACTCAAATGATGGCGCACCACTTCCGAATTCCAGCGGAAACCCTGGGAATTCCCCAGTACAAACAAATACAGGAGCGTTGTTTATGATCATTTAGACACTTTCATCTTATTCGCTGTGCAGAGTTGCGTTCCTTGGGCATGCACGAAACCCATGATCGCGGGTTCGAATCCCGGTCCGCCAATCTGCTCGTGGTTATCACCAACGTGAGACTTGCGTGACGGACTTTCCTCCCACATCAAGCTGACACATAGTGTTGTAACTGGAATACTGTTCAAAGTGGCGTTAAACCCAACTCACTCATTCATTTAACCTTGAAATCGCCGTGTTTGCATACATTGGAAGAAGCCATATTGTTTGACTTCATGCCAAATAAAATCTATCCTTGTGCATAAAGCACGACATGCACACCCTTACGTCTACCACAGTCTTCATCAATCTAGGGGCGGTCGGGTAGCCTAGTTGTTAAAGCGTTCGCTCGTCACGCCGTAGACCCGGGTTCGATTCCCGACATAGGTACAATGTGTGAAGCCCATTTCTGGTGTCACCCGCCGTGATATTGCTGGAATATTGCTAAAAACGGCGTAAAACCATACTCACTCTCTTCATCAATCTAGGACTCTACTTCAGTATCTATTCGACACATCGTTGTGATCACCTTTAAATGATGGGCTTGTTGATCAATAATGACCAACACCTATTCCCCCCCAGGCTGCAAACTGTTCCGGTTCAAGTGGGTCGTTCAGCCATTGAAGTCCTTACATGATGTGGCACCTCTCAACATCTCTCTCGAACATTAATATTATATAAATCTGATATTATATAAATCTACCCGCTGTAACTAAACTACAAAATACTTCATCACTCGTCTGATTAAGTGCTTTTTGTTACTGATTTTATCCAAAATAGGAATATAAAACTTGTAATGATATACTTTCACTTTGTGTCACAAGCGCCGACATTCCTCAATTGGCCCTCTCAAGGAAGATTTATGCTCCAAAGAACTCACACACAGTGCAAGGCATTTTTTAAATACCGTACAACACGAGTGGACGAAGCAGATCGTATACATGGTCCTAAAGCTGATGCTACATCCGGGTATTATCTTCATACCCAGCATTCACCGCGCCTTCCTGAACCCGGGGTCCTTTACGTCGCTGACAGCACCCACCCAACGACGATGACCCACGTTCGTCCAGGATGAAGTGGGGACAAAATGGAATGTATCTTGTAAATTTGAGTTTGTTGAGATATTTCTGTATGAGAGGAAGGTCATACACCGCCAGTGTATCTCTCCTGTCGCCACCGGAAGAAGACTCTTCGTGCTTCCGCCATTTTAATATCCCCCTCTCTTCGACAGTGCCTGAAAGATGCATTGGACACCGTAATGGAGGTGAGTGTGTATTCATGTTTAGCAAGGGGGGGGGAGGGGGGTGATTAGAAGACTTGTGACCATCAAGACCTCCCAGATATAAGATGCGGATATCATTTTCATTCATCCTTATTCTTATTCGTCCGCATTCCCAATAATCCACATTCTTATTAATCCACATATTCAATCGTCCACATTCTTATCCATCCATATACTCAATTATCCACATTCTTGTCCATCCAAACACTCAATTATCCACATTCTTGTCCACCCACATACTCAATTATCCACATTCTTGTCCATCCAAACACTCAATTATCCAAATTCTTGTCCATCTACATACTCAATCGTCCAAATCCTTGTCCATCTACATACTCAATTATCCACATTCTCAATCGTCCACATTCTCAATCATCGACATTCTCAATTATCAACATTCTTATCCATCTACATACTCAATTATCCACATTCTTGTCCATCTACATACTCAATCATCCACATACTCAATCGTCCACATTCTTATTCATTCACATACTCAATCATCTACATACTCAATCGTCCACATTCTTATTCATTCACATACTCAATCATCCACATACCCAATCATGATGGAGGTCTTTGACATATAAAATTAGCCATTGGCTCATGGCTAAGTAATACCATCAGCATAAAACAAATACAAGCGACAATCATTAAGTCACTACTAATGTTCATTAATTAAGTACAGTAACCTATTATGTTGACGTAATGAGGCTTACCTGGAATTGTGTTGTCTAAGAAGGCGGCGATGAACCCACCTACAAACATACTGGTACCCAGTAGCACCGAGATGATCTGGTTGGCGATATCGTTACCTGCAGGAAGAACCAGTTCAGGAGAAAACGGGGAACACGGCGTGAATGAGGCGAGTGAGTGGGTGAGTGAGTGAGTGTGGGAAAGACGTTTACCGCCAACGTGAAACCAACGCGAGTGAGTGAGTGAAAGACGTTCACCTCCAACGTGAAACCGATGTAATGGAAATAGGTTTAGCGAGTGAGGGAGGGAAAGACGTTAACCTCCAACGTGAAACGAACGTGAGTTAGGGAAAGACGTTGAGTGAGGGAGGGAGGGAAAGACGTTAACCTCCAACGTGAAACAAACGTGAGTTAGGGAAAGACGTTTAGTGAGTGAGTGAGTGAGGGAGGGAAAGACGTTAACCTCCAACGCGAGACCAACGTGAGTTAGGGAAAGACGTTTAGTGAGTGAGTGAGGGAGGGAGGGAAAGACGTTAACCTCCAACGTGAAACGAACAGGTGTAAGGGAAAGACGTTCAGTGAGTGAGTGAAGGAAAGATTTTTACCACCAACATGAAACCATCGTAATGTTGGAAGAACGCCCGAAGTTATGCAATATTTTTAGCCTTTGTGTCCAGCGATCAGCGTTTTATTTGAGTTAAGAAAATAGCATACATCTACACACAAAAAAGAGCTATTCTGTCTAGGTATCGTTGTTGTTTCTTTGTTTGTTCTTTAACGCCGCCCTGAGAATATTCACAACCTGAACAACGATCCACACAAATGACATACGAGTGACACGCTATTAACAAAGACACTGAACCTGACAATCCGATCCTCCATCATCATCATCATCATCATCATCATTATTACTATTCAAAGAGAATCTGAGGATGCCTTAAAGATAAAGGTGCAATCCAAATGCTACTTACCAGTTTGAATTTTGCCGGAATTTGCCGAGACCCAGCGAGGGCCGGCGAGGCCAAAGAAGAGAGAAATCCCCAGGATGAAGAGATTCCGGATGGAGCCGAGGTCAACGAAGTGGAGGTTGGAGATTCCAACAGCAGTCACCATACCTGGTAAAAGGGAGTCTATATACAGGGTAGGTTGCTGCACGGGCGTATCCTCGCAAGGTGTTAGTATAATTGTTATTGTCCTCATATCAACTTTTACATAAGCAGACAAACTTCTACACATTGGGTGAGGTGAGGCGGGGTTAAAATTGAGCTTAACTCGAGTTTAAGAATATTTCACATATAGCTACGTAGAGAGACCATGCTGCAGTTTAAACATGGATACTCCACCCAGACACCTATACTGACTCCGAGCCGACCAGTCCTTGTTAAAGCCCATTAAAGCCGAGAACCAGGCAGGGGATCAACAAGTACCATTTAATAACGTCTTTTTGGTATGGCGCAGCCAGGGGGCCGAACCAGCGAACTTCCGCTCTCCGGGCAGACGCTCTATCCACTACACCACGGGGCTGTTCTTGTTCGAATTCGAAGGTGTAATAACGTTGAAAACCCAAATTTGATTGCTTTCCAATATCTGAGGGGCGGTCGGGTAGCCTAGTGGTTAAAGCGTTCGCTCGTCACGCCGAAGACCCGGGTTCGATTCCCGACATGGGTACAATGTGTGAAGCCCATTTCTGGTATCCCCCTGATCCGTCGTGATATTACTGGAATATTGCTAAAAGCGGCGTAAAACCATACTCACTCACTCACTCACTCACTCCAACACTCCAAGTGTGCTCGGGGGTGATTCTAAGAGATAAGTGTTCATATCATAAGACATTACTGCAAACTGACTTACTCAAGTTAATGCTACGTCACCAGAAATGAATACTGATACCCGTGAAATACTTCGTAATTGAACATGTCATACACTTTTCTTAAATGTATGTTGCTGGTTGGAAGGTTTACGCCCCAGTCAGCCCCAGTGTTGCAACCTTATCTCGGCGACGGGCTTGCGTGACCGACCAGGAGATAAGTGAGTGTGGTTTTACGCCGCTTTTAGCAATATTCCAGCAATATCGCGGCAGGGGTCACCAGAAATGGGCTTCACACATTGTACCCATGTCGGGAATCGAACCCGGGTCTTCGGCGTGACGAGCGAACGCTTTAACCACTAGGCTACCCGACCGCCCCTCCAGGAGATAAGGGACCTTTTGGGTGAAAAATCACATTTTTACTTCTCATTATATTTTAAAACTACAGTATCTTAGGACCACAAAAATACAATCCATAACCTTCCATTCATAGTTATTACAGAGATACACGGCCTCAAACATCGTGACTCCTTTTCTGCAAAGTCTCATTTTCAGACTTAGATAAAATTATGGGTGAAAAAACACATTTTTACTTCTCATTATATTTTAAAACTACAGTATCTTAGGACCACAAAAATACAATTCATAACCTTCCATTCATAGTTATTACAGAGATACACGGCACCAAACATCGTGACTCCTTTTCTGCAAAGTCCCATTTTCAGACTTAGATAAAATTATGGATGAAAAACCACATTTTTACTTCTCATTATATTTTAAAACTACAGTATCTGAGGACCTCAAAAATACAATTCATAACCTTCCATTCATAGTTATTATAGAGATACACGGCACCAAACAACGTGACTCCTTTTCTGCAAAGTCCCATTTTCAGACTTAGATAAAATTATGGATGAAAAACCACATTTTTACTTCTCATTATATTTTAAAACTACAGTATCTTAGGACCACAAAAATACAATTCATAACCTTCAATTCATAGTTATTATAGAGATACACGGCCTCAAACATCGTGACTCCTTTTCTGCAAAGTCCCATCTTCAGACTTAGATAAAATTATGGGTGAAAAACCACCTTTTTACTTCTCATTATATTTTAAAACTACAGTATCTTAGGACCACAAAAATACAATTCATAACCTTCCATTCATAGTTATTACAGAGATACAGAGATCGTGACTCCTTTTCTGCAAAGTCCCATTTTCAGACTTAGATAAAATTAGTTCATTTTTCCTTAATTATTTTCAAGGTGATTTTTGTATTCACTCACCAAACATGACGATGAACATCCCGCCTACAACCGGATCCGGAATGGTGACAAACAGGGCCCCGAACTTGCCTAAACAGCCCAGCACTATCATAATGGCGGCTCCCACCTGGATCACCACGCGGCTGCCCACCTGCAAGGGAGACAACTCTTGTAGTTATGAAAACATGTTAAATACTATATTTACTTGTTCTTGTGTAAAATTCCAAGTCAGAAGATAATACCATTGCATTAATATTACACAGGTTTAACCAAGAATATCCTTCACTGCCCATTCTGCCAGTTCTGAAAATATGTGTAACGGGTGCCGAAAATGGTTTGGCTCGCTCCCTGACAGAGTAAAAGTGTATTTTATTAAGCAGGGACTGAAAACTATTCTAGACCGCATTAAGTCTTCTATTTCACTCCCTGTGTGATGATATGACAAAGTCTCCATAGAAGGCCGTGTAAGAGGAACATTCTAATCAACCAATCGGCGTCATCGCTTCTAAATTATATTCGCCCGCTTACTCACTCACACACTAACCGACCGACCCACACTCATTCACTCACCAATACATACACTCTCTCACACACACACACACACGCACGCACGCACGCAGGCGCGCACACACACGCACACACACTCATCGACCGACTCATACTCACTCACTCACCCATACACCCGTATTTCAACATGGATGACTCATTACCTTTGTTTGTTTGTTTGTTTGTTTGTTTGTTGTTTAACGCCGCACTCTGCAATATTCCAGCTATTCGGTCTGTTAATAATCGAGTCTGGACCACACAATCCAGTGTTTGACATCATGGGCATCGATATACTCAATTGGGATACGATGACATGCATCAGCCAAGTCAGCGAGTCTGACCACCCGATCCCGTTAGTCGCCTTCGTACAAGCATGGGTTGTTGAGGGCCTATTCTAACCCGGATCTTCACGGGTATTTTTTTTATAATAAGGTACAATGAAATTCTGTATATGTCCATAATAAGTGTGTATAAGTAAATGGATAATATATCCATACACGCCAATTAAATGGGTCAGACTGCATATGGTTCATTGATGAACTCTTTTACAAGATATTTCAAGACATGTATTTGATATTCATAACAACTCCTTAAAGCTACACAATGGCGACAAAACGGTACCAGCATCACAGATACCTATAATACATTTTTGAACATGAGATACATATAATTACTTTAAAGTTAAATCATGTTTCTAAATAGTAAATTAGAAGGATTTACGACAAGCACAGTCGCCTGTTACGGCAAGCATAGGTTGGTGAAGGCCTATTCTAACCCAGATCTTCACAGGTCCCATTACCTTCGTAATACCAATAGCTCCGATGTTCTCACTGTAGGAGGTGGTACCGCCACCCGTGCCCCACGCCCCCGCAATCAGACACGTGACCCCCTCCATGCCGATACCTGTAACAGTGGAGTGGTGGTGATGATGGTCGTCATTGTTGTGACGAAGAAAGGAATTGTGCATGACACTGTTGTCACCATGGAACTATATGAGTCATCGAGTATCTATATTAACTGTACTCCCCCCCCCCCCCCCCCCCCCCCTTAAGACCCTTCTACAGTCAATAAGAAAGGGATTTAAGGAGAGGTTGGAAAGGGGTCCGTTTTAGCCACCAGGGCCCCGTTCCTCAAAGCGATCTTAGCGCTAAGGTGATCGTAAGACCCATACTTTAACATAGGGTTACGATCATCGTAGCGCTAAGATCGCTTTGAGGATACATTGTTTGTGTATTCAACTACATGCACATTCATATTTCCCGGACTATTTCCATCAGAGCTCTGTATACAAACTTGAAACAGTGTTACAGAAGCCTTATCGTAGGACATAATACAACCCTAATTAGATGAAGTAATACTACAAGTTCAGGCTAATTATGTGATACATCATTATAATTTCAGGCCAAGTATGACCAAGTACGCGAGAATTACTCAAATGAGCGAAAAGGAACGATTATTAACTAACCATGAGAATACCAGTTACCATTTATAATAATATTAGTGCTGACTGTATTTACATATTCTAAGATTTGTTTGTTTGTTTGTTTTGTGTGTTGGTTAACGCCGCAATATTCCAGCTAAATGACGGCGGTGTGTAAATAATCGAGTCTGGACCACACAATCCAGTGTTTGACATCATGAGCATCGATATACTCAATTGGGATACGATGACATGCATTAACCAAATCAGCGAGCCTGACCACCCGATCCCGTTAGTCGCCTCTTACGACACGCACAGTCGCCTGTTACGGCAAGCATTGGTTGCTGAAGACCTATTCTACGGGTCACATCTCCACGGGTCACTTATTCTAAGATATTAAGTAGGATCAAAGACATGTTCAAACAGTAGAAACATCCTGCCGAAGCCTCTACAATCAGCCTGTTTGACAGGTTTTAATTAACCATACGTATACATTCAGTGTTATTGTCATTCCAAAACAGGCAAATATTTGAACGAACAAAGTCTAGTTCTTAGCATCTTCACGAGGCAAGGGAGTTCACTTATTTGAAAAGTACAGTTTCCACCCTTGCCGCAATCGACCGTAATCTGCACGCGAGTCGCCATGTTGTTTTTGAACTGAATGTCGATCTCGTAACGCGATTTTGATTGAACGATGCATGGACCAGTTATTCCAGCCAAACTATAACTGAAAAGTTCCAGCCTCATTCGGCAAGGGTGGAAACTGGACACCTATTATAAGTTACCTCCCTTGCCTCGTGAAGTTGAGATCTCTTGTACAGGAAAACAGATAACTGTGGCCAAACGTCCACCCCCTCCCGCTGAGTTAGAAATGAAAGAGGCCAGCGAAACTTCCTTACCTGTGTCATACTTAGATATATGCATAAAGAATCAGAGAGACAAAACACTCTCCACAAGACCGTATGACAAGGGTATGACTTCAATTTTCCAATCGTTCGATTACCCTTTACGCAGAACAATATTCCAGCAGCTCCAGCCTTTGGTGTTGACATTTCGCGAGGATTTCAAAGAGCGCCACACGACTCTAGTTCTTTGACCAGAGTGACGGCATTGAATACCTCAGTAAAGTCTGACAGAAGACATGTAAACAATCTCATTAAAATCAGATCTTAGTTCTCGCTACCGCTAAACAAAGATCTGAGGACATCCCATTACGGGTCACGTCAGACCGACCTTGCCCGAACTTTGACCAACCAATGGAATGACTAATCAGAGGACAGCTTTCTCGTGCTTTACGGCACTAATTTCAAATTGGCGACTACGCTTCGAAACATATTTTGATAAATTCTCGATTACATATTTTAGAAACCTGAACAAAAGAACATTCTGGAATGGCTAACAAATGGTCTAGATTGTATGTATTCAGTCGTTAAACCCGTAACTATCGTTCGGAATACCCCGTGTTAAAGTTTTCGAGGTTGCATGATTAGAAATCACATTCAGACTGTCACTTTCATGATCTGGTAAGCGACGCTCTGATTAGTCGGATGAAAGGTCGTTCTGATCTTTGTTTAGCGGGAGCGAGAAGTAAGATTTGATTTTAATGAAATTGATGTAAATGATATTTCCAAATATGCTGCACCAGTGACAAAAATGATGTCCGATGCAATTCCCTACATTGACTTGTACCAATGTTCCCATTTTTTCGGGTGGGCAATTGGCTTGCCTTTGCATGTGTTTGTGATGGTTGTAGCAGAGATATCGTTTGATAATGGAAATGGTTTTGTCGCTTTAATTTCCGTTATGAAATACAAACAGAAGGTAATACCTTTCTATTTTTCTCTATGTTGAGAAAGTACGTGTCAGTGTCACAAAACAAACCGTTGATTCTTTGGAAATCTCACCTCTACTCACAGCGCTCCCTGGTGGTGGCGGTGCTCCAGCTAGCCTTGCGCATGCGTAGTAATCGCCAACTGATTCAATCATGGATGCAAGGAGGGCGGCAAGCATTCCGAACACCCCGGCCACGCTGACAGTCGGCACACCCCACTGCCCTGGAGTCAAGTTACAAAGACGATTGAGTAAAGTCATCACCAGGCCTACTTTCGGGTGTTCGTACCTCGGAATATCAGTGATATTAATGAGTTTTCACGAGTCAGTAACACTGTGTACAGTTGTTTCGTTGGGCCGTCTAATAAAACACAATTTCAACAAATCAAACTTTTCAGATACAAATTCTGCGCCCACTATTCAAATACCCCGTCAGACACATGCGGCAGTTTGAAAGGGAAAAGAAAAGACCTAATTCTTACGAGAACGAGTGAGTGAGTGAGTTGGGTTTAACGCCGCTTTTAACAGTATTCCAGTTATATCACGGCGTGTCAGCTTAATGTGTGAGGAAAGCCCGAAGTGATGCAGGTCTTAGACGTTTACCACTTCGGTGAAACCCACGAGCACGGGTATGGTGCTGGCCAACCTAGAAACATAATCGGGGCGAACCGGGATTCGAACCCACAATCCTAGGTTTCTGGCGAGCCCAAGGGACGCAACTCTGCACAGCGAATCGCGACGTCTTAGACGACTGGGCCACCCGTGCCACCGACGACTTTGAAGAAAATGAGAGGTAATGGATCTCTCTCCATGGGCACATAAAAAATCCATGTACCCCGAGTGATCCTACTACAACGAATTTATTTTATAATTAATATGACATTGTAAAATTATTCGAACAAATTCAAAATTGATAGAAACAGCTGTTCGATTGAGCTGAGGTGAGCTTGCGCTGTGACTGCCATTGATTCGGAAAAAGCGCGCGGCTTTTTGCATTAAAGCGGGGTATAAAGGATATATTCTGCCTCTCAGAAATGCACGTGCAGCTTCACTTGCTCACGGCGGGGTATAAGCGATTTATTCCCAGCTGAGGTAGGATACATAGTATTTTATCAAGATCACGTGGACCAATCAGATCTCATCATTCTGACATGGAGGTATGACAAACACGGTTTACATATGGTAATCGAGACTATCCAACACAAACTGGTGATCTATCGCATGAGCATCTAGCTGCGCCGTCGGGGTACAATTACACACAAGCGGGATGGCCCCTCGTCGTAAACGCCCCTAACGACACGCCTGGGGCGCATGCACCCCTTCTTCTCCAGGGCCCTCACAGGGCGCACTGCAGCCATACCTGGATAGGGGAATCTGAACCATTTCGCTTTATGGAGGACTTCTGTCCGGGTGTCAGTACGGGCCTGGTACCCCCAGCCCTTGGGGTCATCGGGGAGCGCACCTGTCACTGTGAGGATTACACACAGAACCCAGGCGGAAACGATCGCCAGCAGCACCTGGAACACGTGAACAAGTCATATCAGACTCACTGGAAGCACTGGACGCACGAGGATGCAGGAGGAGTGGGCGGGGCGGGGGGTGGGGTAGTATGGCATGAGGATGCGGGAACACGGGGGTACGAGAACCCTTGGGCCCAGTGTTCAGAGACTCCCAAACTCGTAGTGCAGAGTTGCTTCCCTTATACTGATTATTCCATTCCGCTGTGGCGGTAAAGTCTACGACTAGCTTTGGGTATGAATTTTTCTTCATCTCTTAGCATGATATGAAGTTGCTGAAATAACGTTGAAAGTAGCGCTCAACCCAACTCACTCACACACTCGCTCAAAGAGCAATAATTGTTCGTGGCTGACGTCTGTTGTGTAACGCCACACTTAGCAATATTCCAGCAATATGACGGCGGTTGGAGTTACTACAATAAAAGATGTAATCCAATTGGAGCCCAGACTCGTGCTTAATTTCAGGCCGAGAGCTGAGGCTATATATACTTGACTGGCCCCCTCGTCTAAAGCGCCGCGATTTGCAGTGCAGAGTTGCGTCCCTTGGTCACCTATAATTGTGGTTTCGAATCCCGGTTTGCCCGATATATGCTTCTTGGTTTGTCAGCACCATATCCGTGCTCGTGGGTTTCACCAAAGTGGTAAACGTCTGAGACCTGCGTCACTTCGGGCTTTCCTCCCACATAAAGCTGACACGCTGTTATATAACTGGAATACCGTTAAAAGCGGCGTTAAATACAACTCACTCACTCACTCACGGGACTGAGGGACTGACTACTGTCATGGCTATCCACAGTGATGGCGTAAGACAGCCAAGGTATCGTATTGCTGGGGGTATAATGTTCAGGGGTGGGGACAGCACCGTTTACGCCACAACACCATTACAGCGTTATGACAGCATCAAAAGAGTAGTTAAACTAGTCGGCCAAATGGCTAAATCGTTCGCTCGTCACGCTTAAGGGCAGGTTTCGTTTCACCACACGTGTCCATTCACAAATAGCCGAGCCTCGGTGAGCCAAACGTGCTTGACGATCGACCCTGGTGAACGATGCCACGTCAGACCACCATTGTGACCAACCAATACCCACCACTAGGGAACTTACTACCATTGTGACCAACCAATACCCCCTCTAGGGAACTTACAACCATTGTGACCAACCAATACCCACCACTAGGGAACTTACTACCATTGTGACCAACCAATACCCCCACTAGGGAACTCACTACCATTGTGACTAACCAATACACCAACAAGGGAACTTTCTGCCATTGTGACTAACCAATACCCCCTCTAGGGAACGTACAACCATTGTGACCAACCAATACCCCCACAAGAGAATTTACTACCATTGTGACCAACCAATACCCCAACAAGGGGACTTACTACCATTGTGACCAACCAATACCCCCTCTAGGGAACGTACAACCATTGTGACCAACCAATACCCCCACTAGGGAAGTTACTACAATTGTGACCAACCAATACTCCAACAAGGGAACTTATTACCATTGTGACCAACCAATACCCCCACAAGGGAAGTTACTACCATTGTGACCAATCAATACCCCCACTTGGGAACTAACTACCATTGTGACCAACCAATACCCCACAAGGGAACTTATTATCATTGTGACCAACCAATATCCCCACTAGGGAACTTACTTGATCTCCACAGGGTGGGATGGTTGGCACGGCTCGGTGTCACCTTGCAATGTTAGACAATACACAGACGAGGCGAGTAACAGGTTATGTCAGAACCAGGGGCATACCGGAAATAGGTTGAAGATTGGCAAGCTGGTTCTACTACATCCATCACGGCGGGAGTAGGCTGCCCAGGGCACTCGGACATTCCGCAGATACTGGGAGAACACCGCGATCAAGGCGACAGTCCTGGAAATAAACATGGGTAGCATACCAATAAATAGGTCATTAATAACACGCATCATACTAAACAGCGTCATACTTGTAGAGGTCATGAATAAACAGCGTCATACTTGAAGAGGTGTTTAATAAACAGCGTCATCCCTGTTGAGGTCATTAATAAACACGTATCATACTAAACAGCGTCGTACTTGTAGAGGTCATGAATAAACAGCGTCATACTTGAAGAGGTGTTTAATAAACAGCGTCATCCCTGTTGAGGTCATTAATAAACACGTATCATACTAAACAGCGTCGTACTTGTAGAGGTCATGAATAAACAGCGGCATACTTGTAGAGGTCATGAATAAACAGCGGCATACTTGTAGAGGTCATGAATAAACAGCGGCATACTTGTAGAGGTCATGAATAAACAGCGTCATACTTGTAGAAGTCATGAATTAACAGCGTCATACTTGAAGAGGTCTTTAATAATCAGCGTCATCCCTGTTCAGGTCATTAATAAACAGCGTCACACTTGTAGAGTTCATAAATAAACACGCATCATACTTCTGGAGGTCATTAATAAACACGCATCATACTTCTGGAGGTCATTAATAAACAGCGTCATCCCTGTAGAGGTCATTCAAAAACAACGTCATACTGGTAGAGGTCATGAATAAACAGAATCATATTTTAAAGATATACGTCACTGTTAAACAAGCTTTGTATAAGGAAGACGATTTCAGTTCAGTGAATTAGATGTCGTCAACATTTACAATGACGTGACACAGTGTTGACCCCTTGTTTGTATTCTAGGGAGATCTAGTTGTTGCTTTAAGCGTTTTAGAGATTGTCATCAGGGAAAGCCTGGCATTTGATGTAAATAATGCCACTTACGTCAATGAAATCCACCATTGGGTGCTTGCCTTGTCGGAGGCGGCCTCAAACAGGGACAGGCCAATGAGAGCGATAGTGGGCGTGATCGTCAAGGGACCAATGAAATTCATCAGCAATCCCATCAACCCGCTGAAGCCAATCACAATTTGAAACAGCGATGACACCATCAGAGCACCTTGCACCTTGAAATAAACGCGCAGACATATTAAAGTCCAAAAAGGGACAATTAAAACACAAAACATTCACAAACAGTTTGTAAAACTGTTCGGTACAGTTCTAGGCCTTTTGTAGAATTTCATCACTAGCTGCAGAGACAAGCACGGGTCTTCGTCAACTCTAAATATCACTGTAATCAAACTGGTTGACTTACTTTCAACAAAATCAAGAAAGATTATGTTTGATTATAAAGTCATGTTTTTAACACCTTATGTGATAACCTTATTCAAACATGACTTGCTTTGAAAAAGTGCAACTGCAATTAGTATCTGTGTCTGTCTTTCTATCTATTTTATTCTGTTAAAGGATAATATAAAGAGGTTTTTCAATATAATTTTTAACTGCCAATTGAGATCGGACTTAATCGTGAAAGACTAGCATCTAGTCTCTGAAATGAACATATTTTACAGAAAAAAAACAGTTGTTAAATTATATGTATAAAATATGATAAAAAGGAGCCCAGAGACTTTCTTCATTTTCAGACACTGTAGTAATCTAGACTTGCCAAACATGGGCATGGACTGTATTGGATATATATGTTCCAGGGTCTGTATGACAGACTAGGTGGATGGCTCTGTTGGTATATAGAAGTTGCAGTAACAAGTCTTGACAAGGATGTCGACGTCTTTAATTCTTCCAGTGCGACGTTTGAATACATTAGCCTCTACCTTCATCACTTGATTGACACTAGCATCTGTACCGGTCGGTCGCATTGAAAGAATAAAAAAAGTTGATATCCTTAATCCAACTCTAGTCATTATATTGGCCAAGTCACGACTGGTGGACAGACTCCCATATAAATACTACCAACAATCAAACGGTGACACAGTGTAGTGCCTAGTATATCTTATTATTGGATACGACCAAAACTGCTACGAGTCTGGATTTGTTCAATCGCGGACGAATACCGAAGACCTATTTGTGTAGGATAAAAGGTGTATGTACCTCCGCCAGACGGGCCTTCCACATGCTGCGATGTCCATCGCTACCTACTTCCGGTAGACTGGTTGCATTCACTGAAACAGGAAGTTGAACGAACACATGTCACCATAGCAACTGTACGTTGAGCGTGTCATAGGCAAGCAATGTAAGCTTTACATTGTTGTGTCAACAGAGCTGGATTTCAGCCTCGATTATCCAGTGTATCTCCATTCTATGCCTACCTTTGAGTGGTTAAAAGACTCAGATATATCACCAGTACCTGACTTGCTCGTCTCAAATACAACTGCAAACGTCTTGTGACAGAAGGACATCCACTCTGTCGTCTTAATACTCCTGTCCTGCTGTGACAGTCTCCTGATTCGATTTCATATATCTAGGGCTCTTCTGAATATATACATAAAGAACTACGGTTATAACGAACTAAAATTAGTGGTCCCTTTGAGTTCGTAATAACCGTAGTTTACTGTATTTCCATGGCGACGTCTCGCTCAGAAGAGGCATTTTGATTGGCTGCTCAAGAGCGAAAGAAATTATGTGCTAAGTAAGTGATAATAGAGATGACGTCACTTCCGAAAGTGACGCAATGGACCAGGAAAGTTATAAAAGAATGGATATAAATGGAGTAATAGAGGATGTATTTCCGCAAGGAAGACAGGAATAATAATAATCATCATCATCATCATCATAATGATAATAATAATAATCATCATTGACTGTTGGTCTTTGACCTGAGACCACACAGACTCGAGGACTCGACCCATCAGGTCATACATTAAAGAAGGCACTAATGTCCTTGTCTAGCCTTTGAGCGAGATCCTCATCGAGATCATAATCATCACCATCATCATAATTATAATCATAATAATGATAACTTATTTCTGTAGCGCCTAGTCTCCAGCTACTGACTGTTCAGTGGCGCTCTAAACATGTTTCTTAATGCCTCCGCAAAAAGATGGGTCTGCGAAATGTTTCAAGAGTGAGACGAAGCCCCCTCTCCAAGTTTGGTTTTGGTAACAAGGACTTATTTGGACTTTGTCGTCGCTAGAATCTGGACCCACATTGTAGATTGGTTCGTTCCCTTGGATACAGGGAGAGTCACTGCCATGCACGACCGTGTACAAGAGTCTGTACAAGAAAGACCTTCTCCAAACGACGTCATTGTTGGCCATCTTCAAAATGGATCCGATTTATGCACGTAATGCACGTTAGCTCACCTGATGGGTCGGTGTATGGGCACTGCCACTCACTGATGGACATGAGTGAGATGACCGGCGTGATGAAGGAGTAGCTGATGCTCTGAATGATAGGGAGTCTGCAACAGAGTGAGTGAGTGGATGGTTGAGAGAGTGGGTGGTTGAGAGGGTGGGTGGTTGAGTGAGGTTGGCGGGCGGGCTTTAAGTAAGTGAGTGAGCTATAGTGATTCAGTGTGGGAGATGCTGCTTCCAGCATTATTTCAGCACGAGTGAGTGAGTGAGTGAGTGGGTTAGTGCGTGCGTGCGTGCATGCGCGAGTGAGTGGGTGGGTGGGTGTGTGGGTGGGTGGGGGCTTGGGTGTGTAGATTGGGTGAGTGAGTGAGTTGGCGGACAGGCTTTTGGTGAGTAAGTGAATGAGGGAGAGTGACCAAGAGTGATTTAGTGAGTGAGTGAGTGAGTGAGATGCTGCTTCCAGCAATATTCCAGCCATGTCACCAACGTATACGTTGTACTCTTGTTGACAAGGCTTGACAAGGCTACCGCTACAAATACACAAGAAACGTATCTGCAAGTGTGGATGACCCATCGTTATATCTGTAGAAACGTGGACCGAGAAGAGTACTTCCTCATTTCGGTAGTAATCGGTTCCAATGTGCTAAATGATGAATGCATGTACTGAACCTTGATGTAGTAATTTATTATAAGTCGTATATTCTCATGAAGTGTCTGACAAATGGGGTCATGATAGGGACTAATTCATTTTGCCACTTGGCTTACAAGCATTGGATAGTGGAAGAACTCAACTCAGTTTGTGATTTTTTGTATCTGACAAATGAGGTCCACCCCCTCCTCTACAATAGTCGGCTGAACGACTCGGGAGACTTACATTCGCCTTTCCTTCTCATCTTACCGGGTACCCATTCGCTACTGTTTTGTCCTTAGCCTGTGGCCTAGCCCTCGGTGGTAAAGAATGCCATTGTTGCCTGAACTTGATATTCTAGCTAGTAACGACCTGATCAACGACCTCACCCCACTACCAACCTCAATCCTCTACCCACCTCACCCCACTACCCACCTCACTCCACTACCAAACTCACTCCGCTACCAACTTCATGCCACTTACCCACCTCACCTCGATACCCACCTCGCTCTACTACCAACCTCACCTCGCTACCCGCCTCATCTCGCTACCCACCTCGCTCTACTACCCACCTCAACCAACTACCCATCTCACTCCACTGCTGACCTCACCCACTACCCACCTCACCAAACTACCCACCTCACTCCACTACCAACCTCACTCCGCTACCCACCTCATCACGCTATCCAGCTCACCTCGCTACCCACCTCACTCCACTACCCACCTCACCCAACTACCCACCTCACTCCACTACCCACCTCACCCCACTACTGACCTCACCCACTGCTGACCTCACCCACTACCCACCTCACCAAACTACCCATCTCACTCCACTACCAACCTCACTCCGCTACCCACCTCATCACGCTATCCAGCTCACCTCGCTACCCACCTCACTCCACTACCCACCTCACCCAACTACCCACCTCACTCCGCTACTCATCTCACCCCACTACTGACCTCACCCACTGCCCACCTCACTCCACTACCCACCTCACCCCATTACCCACCTCACCCACTACCCATCTCACTTCACTACCCACCTCAACCAACTACCCACCTCGCCACACTACCCACCTCAACCAACTACCCACCTCACTTCACTGCCCACCTCACCCCACTACCCACCTCACCCAACTATCCACCTCACTTCACTAACCACCTCACTCCGCTACCCACCTCACCTCGCTATCCACCTCACCTAGCTACCCACCTCGCTCTACTACCCACCTCACTTCGCTACCAATCTCACTCCGCTACCCACCTCACCACGCTATCCACCTCACTCCACTACCCACCTCGCTCTACTACCCACCTCACTCCACTACTCATCTCACTTCACTCCTGACCTCACCTACTACCCACCTCACTCCACTGCCGACCTCACTCCACTACCCACCTCACTCCTTTACCAACCTAACTCCACTACCCACCTCACTCCTTTACCCACCTCACTCTACTACTTACCTCACTCCACTACCTACATCACTCAACTACCGACCTCACCCCACTACCAACCTAACTCCACTACCCACCTCACCCAACTACCAACCTAAGTCCTCTACCAACCTCACCCAACTACCCACCTGATCCTACTATCCACCTGATCCTACTATCCACCTCACCCCACTACCCACCTCACCCAACTACCCACCTGATCCTACTATCCATCTCACCCCACTACCAACCTCAATCCTCTACCCACCTCACTCCACTACCCGCCTCACTCCACTACCCACCTCACCCCACTACCCACCTGATCCTACTACCCACCTCACTCCACTACCCACCTGATCCTACTATCCACCTGATCCTACTACCCACCTCACTCCACTACCCACCTGATCCTACTATCCACCTGATCCTACTATCCACCTCACCCCACTACCCACCTCACCCAACTACCCACCTGATCCTACTATCCACCTCACCCCACTACCCACCTCGCTCCACTACCCACCTCACTCCACTACCCGCCTGATCCTACTATCCACCTGATCCTACAATCCACCTCACCCCACTACCCAACTCACCCGAATACCCACATGATCCTACTATCCACCTCACCCCACTACCAACCACGCTCCACTACCCACCTCATCCTACTATCCACCTCACTCCACTACCCATCTCACTCCACTACCCACCTCGCTCCAATACCAACCTCATTCCACTACCAACCTCGCTCCAATACCCACCTCACCCCACTACCAACCTTGCTCCAATACCCACCTGATCCTACTATCCACCTCACGCCACTACCCACCTGATCCTATCATCCACCTCACACCCCTACCTACCTGATCCTACTATCCACCTGCCCCTACTATCCACCTCACTCAACTACCCACCTCATTCCACTACCCACCTGATCCTACTATCCACCTCACCCGACTACCTACCTGATCCTACTATCCACCTCACCCCACTACCCACCTGATCCTACTATCTACCTGATCCTACTATCTACCTCACTCCACTACCCACCTCATCCTACTATCCACCTCACCCCACTACCCACCTCACCCCACTATCCACCTCACCCCACTACCCACCTGCTCTTACTATCCACCTCGCTCCACTACCCACCTCATCCTACTATCAACCTCACCCCACTACCCACCTCACTCCACTACCCACCTGCTCTTACTATCCACCTCACCCTTCTACCCACCTCACCCCACTACCCCCCTGATCCTACTATCCACCTCACCCCACTACCTACCTGATCCTACTATCCACCTCACCCCACTACCCACCTGATCCTACTATCTACCTGATCCTACTTTCTACCTCACTCCACTACCCACCTCATTCTACTATCCACCTCACCCCACTACCCACCTCACCCCACTACCCACCTCACCCCACTACCCACCTCACTCCACAACTCACCTCACTCCACGACCTACCTCACTCCACGACCTACGTCACTCCATGACCCACCTCACCCCACTACCCACCTCACTCCACTACCCACCTGATCCTACTATCCACCTCACTCCACTACCCACCTGATCCTACTATCCACCTCACCCCACTACCCATCTCACTCCGCGGTCCCACCTCACTCCACGACCTACCTCACTCCACGACCCACCTCATCCTACTATCCACCTCACTCCACTACCCACCTGATCCTACTATCCACCTCACTCCACTACACACCTGATCCTACTATCCACCTCACTCCACTACCCACCTCACCCCACTACCCACCTCACTCCACAACTCACCTCACTCCACGACCGACCTCACCCCACTACCCACCTCACTCCACAACTCACCTGATCCTACTATCCACCTCACCCCACTACCCACCTCACCCCGCGGTCCCACCTCACTCCACGACCTACCTCACTCCACGACCCACCTCACTCCAGTACCCACTTCATCCCACACCTACCTCACCCCACGACCTACCTCACTCCGCGGTCCCACCTCACTCCACTACCCAGCTCACTCCACAACTCACCTCACCCCACTACCCACCTCACCCCACTATCCACCTCACTCCACTACCCACCTAACCCACTACCCACCTCACCCCCAGGGTGGTCTGCAGCAAGGTGGAGAGGCCGGAGACAAAGATGACAGTTCCGATCAGCTCACTGAGCCCCACCGAGTCTCCCACCATACACAAGAACGGCGCCATCAAGATTGGATAGGAGAACGTCGCCCCGAACGCCGTCAGGAATTGCTGAAATACGAAATACAGTCGTACGTAAAATCTCACAAGCGGACAAACACTGGACATCAGGACAAATTGCAATTTAAAATAAGATAACTTTTCAGCCCGTGAGTCGAGCCTTTTTATGAATGCCAAACACGTTTGTGTTTTTTGCGATTTTTCCATCATTTCACCAAATTTCGGCTTTAACTCATTCTTTCAAAACAAATCAATCCCAATTCATGCAGAAATGACCAATTCATTTTTAGTTCTTATTTTGTATGGATGTCGGAATCACTGTCAGATATTTACGAATTTACAAATTTTGCTTTTCTTTTTGTTTTGCAGAGTAAAAGATGTCAGTGCGATATCACTGCGAAATTATACCGATGTTGGCACGATATAGTTCGAGTTATTTACGAGTTTACTACGGACTAAACTGCAACCGGAATACGACCGAATGTTGGCGTGTTTTACTCGTGTTCGCAGCATAAACACGCAGGGCTTATGGCAGCGACACCAGCAGTTGACTGTGGATATGCAGTATGTACCACAGGTATGTGGAAGGGGTTGCGGCCACCATCTTGGTTGTCCGCAGACGTAAGCGAAGGGAAAAGGGGGACCGACGCCGCGGTCAAGTCAAGTTTGGGTGAGTGAGTGAGTGAGTTGGGTTAACGCCGCTTTTAACAGTATTCCAGTTATATCACGGCGTGTCAGCTCAATGCGGGAGGAAAGCCCGAAGTGATGCAGGTCTCAGGCGTTTACCACTTCGGTGAAACCAACGAGCACGGGTATGGTGCTGACAAACCTAGAAACATAATCGAGGCGAACTGGGAAGATTTGGGTGATGATTTTACTTATACGTCGGTCGCAGCATGACTTCTACGAAAGGAGCTGGCACGAGAGGACAGAATAGGGTTCCAGAACATCTTGCGAGAGGACCTGGAGTTGTTCCTGGAGCTTCTGGATTGGGTCGGTCCAAGGAAAGAGAGGCAGGTGACCTTCATCGGGGAACCACTAGGGCCAGCTTTACGCCTGGCCATCATTCTCAGCTACCTGGCTATCTACTACAACACACCGCCTCCGTGGTCTAATGGTACAGCGTCCGCCCGGAGAGCGGAAGGTTCGGGGTTCGATCCCCAGCCGCGTCATACCAAAAGACGTTTAACGATGGTACTTGTTGTTACCCTGTCTGGCGCTCGGCATTAAGGGGCTAAAACAAGGACGGGTCGGGTCGGAGTCAGTATACTGTGTCTGAGTAGGGTATTGATGTTAAACTGCGGCATGGTATCTCAGTGAGCTAGCACTATAAATCGGCATCAGTCCGGACTAGTACAAGCAGCCACACACACTCACACACACATACACGTGCATACATGTCGCTGTATAAGTGCAATAATCTTGAACGCGACGTTAAACACCATTTCACCTCACCTCTACTACAAGACACTCGAGTACGGGTTCAGGGTGATCAACAGCACAATCTCACGTATTGCGTTAGAAACCTGCAACGCCATCGTCGAGGGGTTTGGAGAGGAGTTCAGGGCTGAAGGGGAAGTGTATTGCGTTCGGCTTCCTCCTCTTCCTGAGGGCCCTGTGACCTTCTTGGGAGTCCGGATGATGAATTGGGCGTGTTGTATGCGTGTGGAGGTGGGGCTCGGGGGATGGGAGAATAATGCCATCCTGCTCCTCGACCTCGTCTGGGGGCACGGGTGGCCCACTCGTCTAAGGCGCCGCAATTCGTTATGCAGAGTTACGTCCCTTGGGCACGCCAGAAAACCTATCCCGGTTCACCCTGTTTTATGTTTGTCAGCACCATACCCATTCTCGTAGGTTTCACCAAAGTTTTTAAACGTCGGAGACTTGCATCACTTCGAGGTTTTCTCCCACATCAAGCTCACTCACTCACTCCGCTTTTTTCTCCTCCTGGTCCCTACCCCTTCCCTTCTGACTCATCCTGAGGGTCTGTGGCTGGTCCTCGGTAGGGTCCTGGACCCAGTTCTGTGTGGGTGTGGCAGTGGGTGATCTCTCCAAACTGTGATTGAAGGGTTTGGGGCTGGTCCTGGTTCTGTGTGGGTGTAGCTGTGGGTGATCTCTCCAAACTGGGACTGAGAGTGGGGGCTGGTCCCGGTTCTGTGTGGGTGTGGCTGTGGGTGATCTCTCCAAACTGGGACTGAGGGGTCGGGTTGGTCCTGGCTCTGTGTGGGTGTGCCAGTGGGTGATCTCTCCAAACTGGGACTGAGAGTGGGGGCTGGCCCTGGTTCTGTGTGGGTGTGGTTGTGGTTGATCTTTCCAAACTTGGACTGACGGGTGGGGGTTGGTCCTGGCTATGTGTGGGTGCGGCTGTGGGTGATCTCTCCAAACTGGGACTGAGGGTTAGGGCTCTGGGTGGGTGTAGTTGTGGGTGATCTTTCCAAACTGGGACTGAGGGGTCGGGTTGGTCCTGGCTCTGTGTGGGTGTGGCTGTGGGCGATCTCTCCAAACTGGGTCTGAGAGTGGGGGCTGGTCCTGGCTCTGTGTGGGTGTGGCTGTGAGTGATCTCTCCAAACTGGGACTGAGGGGTCGGGTTGGTCCTTGTTCTGTGCGGGTGTGGCTGTGGGTGATCTCTCCAAACTGGGACTGAGGGTGGGGATTGGTCCTGGTTCTGTGTGGGTGTGGTTGTGGGTGATCTCTCCAAACTGGGACTGAGGGGTGGGAATTGGTCCAGGCTCTGTGTGGGTGTGGTTGTGGGTGATCTCTCTAAACTGGGACTGAGGGGTGGGGATTGGTCCAGGCTCTGTGTGAGTGTGGTTGTGGGTGATCTCTCCAAACTTGGTCTGAGGGGTGGGGATTGGTCCAGGCTCTGTGTGAGTGTGGCTGTGGGTGATCTCTCCAAACTGGGACTGAGAGTGGGGGCTGGTCCTGGCTCTGTGTGGGTGTGGCTGTGGGTGGTCTATCCAAACTGGGACTGAGGGGTCGGGTTGGTCCAGGCTATGTGTGGGTGCGGTTATGGGTGATCTCTCCAAACTGGGACTGTGGGGTCGGGTTGGTCCAGGCTATGTGTGGGTGCGGTTATGGGTGATCTCTCCAAACTGGGACTGACGGGTGGGGGTTGGTCCTGGCTCTGTGTGGGTGTGGCTGTGGGTGATCTCTCCAAACTGGGACTGAGGGGTAGGGCTCTGTGTGGGTGTGCCAGTGGGTGATCTCTCCAAACTTGGTCTGAGAGTGGGGGTTGGTCCTGGCTATGTGTGGGTGTGGCTGTGGGTGATCTCTCCAAACTGGGACTGAGGGGTAGGGCTCTGTGTGGGTGTGCCAGTGGGTGATCTCTCCAAACTGGGACTGAGGGGTAGGGCTCTGTGTGGGTGTAGCTGTGGGTGATCTCTCCAAACTGGGTCTGAGAGTGGGGGTTGGTCCAGGCTATGTGTGGGTGTGGTTGTGGGTGATCTCTCCAAACTGGGAATGAGGGGTAGGGCTCTGTGCGGGTGTGGCTGTGGGTGATCTCTCCAAACTGGGACTGAGGGTGGGGGTTGGTCCTAGTTCTGTGTGGGTGTGGCTGTGGGTGATCTCTCCAAACTGGGACTGAGGGGTAGGGCTCTGTGTGGGTGTGCCAGTGGGTGATCTATCCAAACTGGGTCTGAGAGTGGGGGCTGGTCCTGGTTCTGGGTGGGTGTGGTTGTGGGTGATCTCTCCAAACTGGGACTGAGGGGTCGGGCTCTGGGTGGGTGTGGTTGTGGGTGATCTCTCCAAACTGGGACTGAGGGGTAGGGCTCTGGGTGGGTGTGGTTGTGGGTGATCTCTCCAAACTGGGACTGAGGGGTAGGGCTCTGGGCGGGTGTGGTTGTGGGTGATCTCTCCAAACTGGGACTGAGGGGTCGGGTTGGTCCAGGCTCTGTGTGGGTGTGGTTGTGGGTGATTTCTCCAAACTGGGACTGAGGGGTAGGGCTCTGGGTGGGTGTGGTTGTGGGTGGTCTATCCAAACTGGGACTGAGGGGTCGGGTTGGTTCTGGCTATGTGTGGGTGTGGCTGTGGGTGATCTCTCCAAACTGGGACTGAGGGGTAGGGCTCTGGGTGGGTGTGGTTGTGGGTGGTCTATCCAAACTGGGACTGAGGGGTCGGGTTGGTCCTGGCTATGTGTGGGTGTTGCTGTGGGTGATCTCTCCAAACTGGGACTGAGGGGTAGGGCTCTGGGTGGGTATGGTTGTGGGTGGTCTATCCAAACTGGGACTGACGGGTGGGGGTTGGTCCTGGCTATGTGTGGGTGCGGCTGTGGGTGATCTCTCCAAACTGGGACTGAGGGGTCGGGATGGTCCTGGCTCTGTGTTGGTGTGGCTGTGGGCGATCTCTCCAAACTGGGTCTGAGAGTGGGGGCTGGTCCTGGCTCTGTGTGGGTGTGGCTGTGAGTGATCTCTCCAAACTGGGACTGAGGGGTCGGGTTGGTCCTTGTTCTGTGCGGGTGTGGCTGTGGGTGATCTCTCCAAACTGGGACTGAGGGTGGGGATTGGTCCTGGTTCTGTGTGGGTGTGGTTGTGGGTGATCTCTCCAAACTGGGACTGAGGGGTGGGGATTGGTCCAGGCTCTGTGTGGGTGTGGTTGTGGGTGATCTCTCTAAACTGGGACTGAGGGGTGGGGATTGGTCCAGGCTCTGTGTGAGTGTGGTTGTGGGTGATCTCTCCAAACTTGGTCTGAGGGGTGGGGATTGGTCCAGGCTCTGTGTGAGTGTGGCTGTGGGTGATCTCTCCAAACTGGGACTGAGAGTGGGGGCTGGTCCTGGCTCTGTGTGGGTGTGGCTGTGGGTGGTCTATCCAAACTGGGACTGAGGGGTCGGGTTGGTCCAGGCTATGTGTGGGTGCGGTTATGGGTGATCTCTCCAAACTGGGACTGACGGGTGGGGGTTGGTCCTGGCTCTGTGTGGGTGTGGCTGTGGGTGATCTCTCCAAACTGGGACTGAGGGGTAGGGCTCTGTGTGGGTGTGCCAGTGGGTGATCTCTCCAAACTTGGTCTGAGAGTGGGGGTTGGTCCTGGCTATGTGTGGGTGTGGCTGTGGGTGATCTCTCCAAACTGGGACTGAGGGGTAGGGCTCCGTGTGGGTGTGCCAGTGGGTGATCTCTCCAAACTGGGACTGAGGGGTAGGGCTCTGTGTGGGTGTAGCTGTGGGTGATCTCTCCAAACTGGGTCTGAGAGTGGGGGTTGGTCCAGGCTATGTGTGGGTGTGGTTGTGGGTGATCTCTCCAAACTGGGAATGAGGGGTAGGGCTCTGTGCGGGTGTGGCTGTGGGTGATCTCTCCAAACTGGGACTGAGGGTGGGGGTTGGTCCTAGTTCTGTGTGGGTGTGGCTGTGGGTGATCTCTCCAAACTGGGACTGAGGGGTAGGGCTCTGTGTGGGTGTGCCAGTGGGTGATCTATCCAAACTGGGTCTGAGAGTGGGGGCTGGTCCTGGTTCTGGGTGGGTGTGGTTGTGGGTGATCTCTCCAAACTGGGACTGAGGGGTCGGGCTCTGGGTGGGTGTGGTTGTGGGTGATCTCTCCAAACTGGGACTGAGGGGTAGGGCTCTGGGTGGGTGTGGTTGTGGGTGATCTCTCCAAACTGGGACTGAGGGGTAGGGCTCTGGGCGGGTGTGGTTGTGGGTGATCTCTCCAAACTGGGACTGAGGGGTCGGGTTGGTCCAGGCTCTGGGTGGGTGTGGTTGTGGGTGGTCTATCCAAACTTGGACTGACGGGTGGGGGTTGGTCCTGGCTCTGTGTGGGTGTTGCTGTGGGTGATCTCTCCAAACTGGGACTGAGGGGTAGGGCTCTGGGTGGGTATGGTTGTGGGTGGTCTATCCAAACTGGGACTGAGGTGTCGGGTTGGTCCTGGCTATGTGTGGGTGTTGCTGTGGGTGATCTCTCCAAACTGGGACTGAGGGGTAGGGCTCTGGGTGGGTGTGGTTGTGGGTGGTCTATCCAAACTGGGACTGAGGGGTCGGGTTGGTCCTGGCTATGTGTGGGTGTGGCTGTGGGTGATCTCTCCAAACTGGGACTGAGGGGTAGGGCTCTGGGTGGGTGTGGTTGTGGGTTATCTTTCCAAACTTGGACTGACGGGTGGGGGTTGGTCCTGGCTATGTGTGGGTGCGGCTGTGGGTGATCTCTCCAAACTGGGACTGAGGGGTCGGGATGGTCCTGGCTCTGTGTTGGTGTGGCTGTGGGCGATCTCTCCAAACTGGGTCTGAGAGTGGGGGCTGGTCCTGGCTCTGTGTGGGTGTGGCTGTGAGTGATCTCTCCAAAATGGGACTGAGGGGTCGGGTTGGTCCTTGTTCTGTGCGGGTGTGGCTGTGGGTGATCTCTCCAAACTGGGACTGAGGGTGGGGATTGGTCCTGGTTCTGTGTGGGTGTGGTTGTGGGTGATCTCTCCAAACTGGGACTGAGGGGTGGGGATTGGTCCAGGCTCTGTGTGGGTGTGGTTGTGGGTGATCTCTCTAAACTGGGACTGAGGGGTGGGGATTGGTCCAGGCTCTGTGTGAGTGTGGTTGTGGGTGATCTCTCCAAACTTGGTCTGAGAGTGGGGGTTGGTCCAGGCTCTGTGTGAGTGTGGCTGTGGGTGATCTCTCCAAACTGGGACTGAGAGTGGGGGCTGGTCCTGGCTCTGTGTGGGTGTGGCTGTGGGTGGTCTATCCAAACTGGGACTGAGGGGTCGGGTTGGTCCAGGCTATGTGTGGGTGCGGTTTTGGTGATCTCTCCAAACTGGGACTGAGGGGTAGGGCTCTGTGTGGGTGTGCCAGTGGGTGATCTCTCCAAACTGGGACTGAGGGGTAGGGCTCTGTGTGGGTGTAGCTGTGGGTGATCTCTCCAAACTGGGTCTGAGAGTGGGGGTTGGTCCTGGCTCTGGGTGGGTGTGGTTGTGGGTGATCTCTCCAAACTGGGACTGAGGGGTAGGGCTCTGGGTGGGTGTGGTTGTGGGTGATCTCTCCAAACTGGGACTGAGGGGTAGGGCTCTGGGCGGGTGTGGCTGTGGGTGATCTCTCCAAACTGGGACTGAGGGGTCGGGTTGGTCCAGGCTCTGTGTGGGTGTGGTTGTGGGTGATTTCTCCAAACTGGGACTGAGGGGTAGGGCTCTGGGTGGGTGTGGTTGTGGGTGGTCTATCCAAACTGGGACTGAGGGATCGGGTTGGTCCTGGCTATGTGTGGGTGTGGCTGTGGGTGATCTCTCCAAACTTGGACTGAGGGGTAGGGCTCTGGGTGGGTGTGGTTGTGGGTGGTCTATCCAAACTGGGACTGAGGGGTCGGGTTGGTCCTGGCTATGTGTGGGTGTGGCTGTGGGTGATCTCTCCAAACTGGGACTGAGGGGTAGGGCTCTGGGTGGGTGTGGTTGTGGGTGGTCTATCCAAACTGGGACTGAGGGGTCGGGTTGGTCCTGGCTATGTGTGGGTGTGGCTGTGGGTGATCTCTCCAAACTGGGACTGAGGGGTAGGGCTCTGGGTGGGTGTGGCTGTGGGTTATCTTTCCAAACTTGGACTGACGGGTGGGGGTTGGTCCTGGCTCTGTGTGGGTGTGGCTGTGGGTGGTCTCTCCAAACTGGGACACAAGCTTAACATCGTGATATATCGCGGCAAACATCGAGATAGTGAGCGGGTAGCCCCATCAGATGTTCATCAGCCCATAACAGGGAAGAAAAGGCGGTTCAGAACTTATTTCGAGAATCCATACTAAAAATACCCAACAGTTAGTCCGAGGTCGATGTCTAAAGGCGTCTGTTGTGTAGCAGTGCCGGAATGTTTTCATGTCGGTGTGACATAGGGTTTGATGTTAATCGTGTAGCATTGTCCTGTGTAGACGTTTACATACCCTCACTCATTCGCTATGCTTAGTTAGCCTCACTCATTTATTTTCTCACTCATTTACCTCACTCACTCATGTAACCCGTGAAGATCCGGTGGTCAGGCTCGCTGACTTGGTTGATGCATATCATCGTATCCTAATATGCGTAAATCGATGCTCATGATGTCAATCACTTGATTGTCTGGTCCAGACTCGATTATTTACAGACCGCCGTCATATAGCTGGTGTATTGCTGTGCGCGGCGTAAAACAACAAACAAGCACTCACTCACTCATGTACTCTCTCACTCATTTACTCCTACTTATTTTCTTTCTCTCACTCACTCGACCGCCTCCGTGGTCTAGTTGTAGAGCGTCCGCCCGGAGAGCGGAAGGTCCGGGGTTCGATCCCCGACCGCGTCATACCAAAAGACGTTAAAAGATGGAACTTGTTGTTACCCTGTCTGGCGCTCGGCATTAAGGGGCTAAAACAAGGACTGGTCGGCTCGGAGTCAGTATACTGTGTCTGAGTGGGGTATTCATGTTAAATGTGAAGCCCATATCTGGTGTCTCACGCCGTGATGTTGCTGGAATATTGCTAAAAGCGGCGTTAAACCATACTCACTCACTCACTATTCGTGTTAAACTGCGGCATGGTATCCAGTGAGCTAGCACTATAAATCGGCATCGGTCCGAACTACTACAAGCAGCCACACAAACACCACACACGTACATGCACGTCGCTATATAAGTGCAATAATCTTGGACGCGACGTTAAACCCCATTTCACCTCACCTCACCTCACCGCACCTCACCTCTCACTCACTCACAGCAAATGTCGCCTGACTCTCACCTGGAATCCAAGGAGAATACACAGATACCACGGCGGTACCTCCGTCACCGTGTACAGTATCTCCCTCTTCTCTCCTGTCTCTTCCTCGCCACCAGGAGGCGCTGCGGTGTTGTTCTTCTCCACATCATCAGACGCCATTTCGAGTTCTCACCAACAGAAACAACCGGCTAGGTTTACTTGTCTCACTTCGCTGTATCGACCGTCGATTATTCCTGCAGGGTGGGATGTGTGTACGGGTTAAGGGTAATAGATCTGCTGACAATAATAGGTATCGGCTGAACGTCGTACCTGAAAGAGGTAAATTGTTGTTATAAACCCTTACCTACGGTGGCCCATGAGGGACATGGTGTTTCTTTTTCAATATTTTGATATTTCACTTACTGTTATCGTAACCTTTTGCAAATTAACACGATTTGTCATACAAATATGTGATAAATCATGCATAAAGTAGATGTTGAATCGCGAAAAAGTGAAGCGAAAATTTCAAAAACTAAAATGAAAATGTCAAAAATAAAAACGAAAAGGTCAAAAATGAAAATGAAAATATCAAAAACAAAAACGAAAATGTCAAAAACAGCAATGAAAATACAGATAAAGGTTACGATAAAAGTGAGTGTGAATTTCAAAATATTGATAAACAGACTCCATGTCCCTTATGGGCCACCGTACTTATCGCTCAGCGGCTCTGGGTACGACTGGTTAACATTAAAAATGCCTTCACGATTGATCAATGAGAAAATGGTGGAGAATTAAAGGTTAAATATCAGTGTTGTGTTGTCTCACAACAGCAAAGATTTCGACAAATAGAATATCTTCACAGTCCATTTCTGCTACGAGAATACCAAAGCAATGTTAAATTGAACGTGAAGCTGATCGCCAGACCCTGAAGAAGCACCCACAACCCCCTCGTTGGAGCATATACCATGTCATTACTACAGTTACATGAGGTTACATAGGCGCCGACCATTTAATAATAGGGGGTGAGGGTTGTTGAACACGGAATAATTGGGGGGGGGGGGGGGGGGGGGCACTGCTGCTGCAATGCCGTAGGGTCACGTGTTTCCCAAACGCTCTATTTACCCGTAAGATGACATAATGTTCCATGAACGCGGCTGTCTACCTGTGGGGTGGCGATATATTTCACGAACGTCGCTAGTTAACCGTACCCGCCATTTTGTAACACTTAAACTCGTCGCTATAAACCATTCCCATATCCATAGGAAGGCAGAGTCACAAGTTATACTTCTACAAATATTGCCCCCCCCCCCCCCCCCCCCCCCCCAAACCGTCAAAAAAAGTTAACTACGGCCTTGTCCTTTATAAATCAATGCGGTTTTCAAATAACATCCTGTCTGAATAACAACTGCACACATGTTTTATTCATTGCTCTTTGAATCTCTGATTAACTGTAGCATATGCCTGTCATATTTACACATCATCCAATTGTCTGCACACACTATCAAACTTCTTGTTCACATCTTCGTCGTTATCGTGCGATGCAGGTGCGTTACACATTGATCACCCCGATCCGCGTGCACTCCAAGTTTCAATTGCTTGTTCCAACCGTACGCCCCTTAAACGACAGGTGACATTCACACTCCCACCGAGCCCGCGGCTGCTTGAATACACCGCAACATACCTCAAATACTCCATAGATAACATCATATGCCTTCACACTGCACCCACCGAAAGCCCTGCAGAGTAATGTCTGAACTGTTGGTCCTCCCTGTGTCAAGTCAACCCAGCCACTGTGTCAAGTCAACCGAGCCACTGTGACAGTAAACCCAGCCACTGTGTCAGCCAACCCAGCCACTGTGAGTTTCAACCGTCACAGCGAGAGAGACTCTCGGGGACAGGTGCACACCGTTGGCAAATTTGATAATGTTTATACAAGTGCGGGGTGAGCGAGTGAGTATGGTTTTACGCCGCTTTTAGCAACATTCCAGCAATATCACAGCGGGGGACACCAGAAATGGGCTTCACACATTGTACCCATGTCGGGATTCGAACCCGGGTCTTCGGCGTGACGAGGGAACGATTCAACCACTAGGCTACCCGACCGCACTGGCAAGTGCGGATGTCTATACGGATAAGAAAAGTGATTCAGGAGTCATATTCAACAAAGATTGCATGTTTGATATTGAATGTACAAGCACTTCATCATCAGAATCGTCCCAGAGGCTAGAAATTAAAATACTGTTACATTTTATGTCTCAATGACAACACTATTATCTCTTTGTTGTTAATTCTTTTCACACTACATAATTACGTGTTTGTTTATGTCATATTCAAATGTGCCACCAAAATATGCCTTAAATTGTACAAGTGAGTGAGTTAGGTTTAACGCCGCTTTTTAACATTATTCCAGTTATATCACGGCGTGTCAGCTTAATGTGGGAGGAAAGCCCGAAGTGATGCAGGTCTCAGACGTTTAACACTTCGCTGAAACCCACGAGCACGGGTATGGTGCTGACAAACCTAGAAACATAATCGAGGCGAACCCACAATCATAGGTTTCTGGCAAGCCCAAGGGACGCAACTCTGAACGACTGGGCCACCCGTGCCCCCGTATACTATAAGTACAAAGACATAATAAATACGTGAAATCATATAAGTGATGTGGTTATTCAATAAGTATTAACCAATGTGCCTAATATGATCGTGTAAGAGAATATCTTTTTAGGTTTTCTGATAAATGAAGCTGTGTAAAAATTACGTAACAGTCGAATACACAAATTGGCTCTTTAACCCGACCCGCCCACGGGTTTCTGACGAGGACGAAGAGAGGGGGCAAATAGATATGTATGTCTTTGTTAAGTTCGTACTTGTTTACCTGTGATAGCATGTGGTATAAGGATGACGTGTTACATTTAGCATTCCTTTCTTTATTTTTTGGAGTTGATACTGATCAAATTTCAGCTGCAATAATCTTTTAAATACAGAGTTAATATTACTAGAGCATTGTCTTCCATGGAACAAGAGTGTTAGTTGGTCAAGGTACGCATGGAGAGTAAGTTAACCAGGGCTGTCTCTGGTATCTACGGGTGCCCAGACAATCCTCGAATGTCTTACAGAAATAACGTTGGACGGGTCAAGGCCTATCCTCCCCAATATACATGATCTAAAGAGGTCATGCAAAAGTATATTTACATTTACGTATTATGTGCCATGTGAACGCAAAATACTTTTGTGCAAAACTGTTTCATCATGCCTAGAAATAGCAACATGTGACAGGATCCATTTTAAAAGCTCAGATCAGGCGATCATTCAAAACAGGGTACACAAGTCAAGTTGCTTACAAGCTGAACAGAGGTAAAATGGCTTCCAGAAAATATAAAAAAGAGGTTCTTCTTTGACTGATGTAGAAGCTGAGGCTTTTCTCAGCGTCTAGAGTGATGAAGACATAGAAGACCAGTGTGATGATCCAAAACGGAACAAAGGAGCACTATATGAACATTTGTCATCTGAATTTCAGAATCGCAGCTTTGAAAAATCAAACGCACAATGCAAGATCCGCATGCATACTTTAAAGAGATCCTTTAGAGAGCGCAATAAGTAGCTCCAAATCAGTGGCAAAGGCTGAAAACTATGCACGTTTTACAAAAGACTGAATGAAATCCTGGGAAATCGGCCAGCCACCTCACCTGTGAAGGTTGTTGAAAGCATGACAAGAAATTGATCGAATCTGATGAAACAGATAACTCTATATTGGTAATGATGATGACTTGAAGACGGAGACAGAAATAGTGGAAGAAGCAAGAGAGATCGGTACAGATTTAGTAATTCAGTCCAGAGAAGACGAACAGAATGAAGGTCGCGGAAAAAATACTACGGAGGGTGGAGAAATACAGGCAAAGGAAACTGAAAAATAACCTAAAACTAAATCTATAGAGAAAACACGATTGGAAGTGGCCCTAGGTTCAGTCATGAAAGGCTTTGGAGAAAGTAATGATAAGTTCGAGAAGATGTTCTTGGGTGTTGAAGCTAAAAAGGTTGAAGCAGAGTTAAAGCGAATTGATCTGGAGCAACAGAGGTTCGAATCTGAGGAGCGCCAAAACCCCGAAGAAAGGGATCACCATCAGAATGATGCAGATGATCTGGGGAAGAATGACACCTCAGTCACATCAGCACCAGTCAGCTGCTCCATCTGGCCCTGGATCTCAGAACATTGTGAATGCACCTTCCCCTACACCCAAGACTGACCGACAGTTCCATCGCCAGGCCTCCACAAGGTCCAACTGCAACGTATCACATGATGACTCAGAAGATTCCTTCTAAAACTGTAACTGATTTCATTAAAGATAATATTTTGTTTTGATTATGATAGTTGTTGGGTATTGTGTACGTGGACGAAATTAAAGGAATCACACAACGAAGTGACTGAATTCTAGATTTACTCCAGAGCCAACTGAATTCTTACAAAACCCGTATAGGTTTATGAAACGGAACATGCACATAAATGGAAAGTGATTTTACATTATATTTAGAACACAACATATTTTCCCTCTCCCCAGGGAAAGTCCTGGGATAGTTAATGATATATGGCTGACTCAAACACTCTGTTTAGGAAACACAAATTAACCACTACAGTCATAGTCAGCCAGATAGGCAGGTCTCCTGATCACACGTTGTGGTCTCGGAGTCTTGGTCCCAGGATGTTCTGCTTGTGGTCTACTTGTATTGCAAGTCCCGAATGTTGACGAGTCAGTGGCGTCTGAAACTTCCTGTTTTGATGGAATCAGACGTCTGGCATTCCAAGTGGTACCGTCAGTCAACCGGTAGGAAGCATTGTTCAATTATTTCTCAACTTGCTTTGGTATAGACAGAGCTGACTGAAGCTTGTGTCCATGAATGGGACGCTTGGTGCGAACCAAATCTCCAGCCTTGAATGTTGTCAGAGTGATGTCAGAGGCATTCGGAATTTCGACTGACTTGTGTGGCACTGGTCTGAGTCTGTCCAGAGCTTGTTTGATGTTGCGACCAACCATCAGCTCTGCTGGTGTTTGCTTGGTAAGAGCATGACGCGTATTTCTGTAGGTCATCAAAGTAGTTTGGATTGTCTCTGTGAATGACTTCCCTTCTGTCATGTTTGATTTCAGGCCTTCTTTGATGACTCTGTTGAAGCGTTCAATACCACCATTGCTCTGCGGATTGTATCGAGAGGTCTTCCGGTGTTGTATTTCCAGACCTGTTTGAATTCATATGAGCAGAACTGTGGCCCATTATCAGACATGATGATGTCTGGAAGGCCCCATCTGGTGAAAAGGTTGGTGAAAACGTCGATGATTGTCTTCGAAGTCACTGTTCCTGTAGCTGCAATCTCGGGCCATTTTGAATGCATATCATGCACGACGACAAGGAATCTCTTGTCCCTTGGAGCAATTTGGACTTCTCCAAATATATCAATCTGCAGTTGCTGCCATGGCTTCTCTGGCCATGGAATGAATTGTGCAGGAGCAGCAACAGGTTTCATGGATTTCTCACTGAGAACACAGGCCTCACAGTCTTTCACGAACTTCTCGATTTGGCGGTCAATCCCTGGCCACCATACCGATTCACAGCACTTCTGTTTCATCTTTACTATCCCAGGATGACCGTTATGAGCCATGTAAAGTACCCTCTGCTGTAAACTCTCAGGAATAATGGCCCTTTCTCCTCTTCCCACACAGGCAGAATTGAAGATGAACAATTCATCTTTTATCTTCTCATACACTTCAAGACCATTTGGTGTCTTATTTAGCCAGCCGTTGGTAACAAAGTCTCTAACTTGTGTCAAGAGTGTATCCTCTGTGGAAGTGTGTTTCAATTCTTCTGGGGTCACGAACTTTCCCAGTGATTCACACAACTCAGACATGACTTGTAATTCAGCCTCAGCTGAGAGCACTTCCTCACATTGAGACAAGTTGTTGAATACCAATCTGCTGAGCATATCAGGGACGGTATTATTCTTTCCAGATGTGTACTGTACATCAAAGTTGTACTGATGGAGTCTATCTGACCATCTGTAGATGCGAAGAGGTTTGTGGCCTAAAACCTGTTGTAGATAACAGTGTTGTAAGAGACTGGTGATCAGTGCGTAGGGTGAATTTTCTGCCGAAGAGGTACACATGCCAGTGCTCACATGCACACACACACCCTAGTGCTTCACGTTCTCCAGTCGAGTATTTTCGTTGTGTCTCGGTCAATGTACGAGACCAGAAAGCAATTGGACGCTCCTCTCCGCTGATGACTTGTGATAGCACTGCCCCGAGTGCGATTCCAGAGGCATCAGTAGAGACGATAGTCTCAGCATCGGGATCAAAGTGTGCAAGTACTGGTGGGGAAGCAATGTCAGCTTTCAGCTGATTGAATGAACTCTGCTGCGGTCTGCCACTTGTGTCCTTAGAGAGAAGTTTACGCAAAGGTTCAGTTTTGTCTGCGTAGTTTTGAACACACTTCAAGTAGAAATTTGTTGTTCCTAGGAAGGAGGCGAGCTCAGTTCTGTTTGTAGGCTCCTTCAGATCCAGAATAGCTCGGACGTTTGAAGTGGTGGGCTGAATCCCTTGTGCGGAGACCCTGAAGCTGAGGAAATCCACCTCATCTGCTGAGAATTTGCACTTGTCTGCATTCAAAGTGACGTTGTAATGGGAAAGTTTAGTCAGTACACGTTCCAGCCTTTGGTCATGCTCAATCTGGTCTTTTCCATGAACGACGATGTCATCCATCATGTTTTGAGCTCCTTTCAATCCTTGTAGGATGCTTGAGAGTATTTTCTGGAATGCACTTGGGCTTGAGGACAGGCCGTAAGGCATGCGGCGATACTGGAAGACTCACACATGAGTGACGAAAGCTGTCAGAAATCTACTTTCCTCTTTCAGCTTCACTTGTAGGTAGCTACGACGTAAGTCAGCATGGTGAATACTGTGGAGCCATGAAACTCTGCTGCAAGCTCTTCCATGGTTTGGAGCGGATACTTGTCCGGAATGATGCCTTTGTTGACCTCTTTCAGGTCTACACATAGACGAATTTCTCCAGACTTGCGACGTGCAATGGCTAGATTGGTTACCCATGGTGAAGAATCAATTCTCTCGATGATACCTTGTTGTTCCAGACGCTGAAGTTCTGTCTCTACTTCAGCTCGAATGCTGAGAGGTATCCTTCGTAACCGTTGTGAAACTGGTGGTACCTGTGAGTTGATCCGGGGTGAATGAGAGAATGATGAAATCTCTCCAAATCCTGAGAAGACGCTGGGGAACTGGCATATCACATCTGCCATAGTTGTTCCCACGGTCTGTATGAGAGAACCATGTCTGTAGATTTGAAAGTCCAAAGCATCGAACAGATCAACGCCCATTAGACATGCACCTTGTCTTGAAATGTAGAATGGGTGTTTATGGATAATCTGTCCATCTAGCTCCACATCGAGATATGATATTCCCACTATTTCCAGGGTTTCATCATTGTAGCTGAGGAGTGACTGCTTTGGAGCATGCAATTGGTATTTCGCAAACTTATGCCTGTAAACAGTTTCATTCAAAATTGTGACCTTTGCACCGATATCCATCAGCAGAGTGACAGGTTCGTTAGCAATGATTAGGTCACATTACTTGAAATTTCCTTGATTTGAATTTACAGTGGATACAACAGTATCTTCTTCATAATAGGAATTGTCACGATCTTCATAGGAATGTTCAAACTCTGTAGCATCAACCATTTTCACAGATGACATGGTACCGCCCTAGTTACTTGAATGGCACATTTTCTTAAGATGGTTCATTTTCCCACAAGATCCCCATTTCTTGCCTTTAGCTGGACAGGTTTCACTGTTAGCCAGATGCGAAGGCGATCCACAACAAAAGCAACAGGGCTGTGATGAATGTCCAGTTTCACTTCTTTTCTTTACTTTTCCCCTATTAACGTCCGACCATATAGTAACCACCAGTGCGTGCAATATGGATGATTTGAATGATAGACTTAATACATGTATAGTGATGACATAGCTCTACATTGAATAACAGACGCAAGTATTCATGGCATCGGTGGAGTGTCGCCTTAAATCTGTAATACCGTGAGGGTTGATTATCTTCTGTTGTTCGAAAGTAACATAAAATATCAAACTGGTAAGGAAACCACTTCCCTTTCATTTCACTACGATCTGTTGTGATATCCACATCTTTGAATCGAAAACATTAAACAATATGTTGAACGATGATTTATTGAGCATTTTCTGTTGAAATTGTGAAATAAAATTAACTTCATTTTGTCATTCTCTGGTTGATCTTCCACAGTGACATCCAAATGATATTGCTTTACACAAAGTTAGCGTTTCAAATACAGACTGTTCACACTGAGACAAAATATGATGCAAGGTCAGAACGTAATGCTTCAGCACTGACGCCACGTCATCCTCCCACCCCTCATCCTCCTCCTGCTGCTCTTCCATATCTGCCAGCTGTTCCTCAAACCTCTCACGTCGCATCTCACACAGGTTATTATAAGGGTAACGCTATTTTTCAGGGCATTATCATTTGCAGATGCCCGAGGTCTTCCATTAACTGCCCGACGAAGGAGGCAGCTAAAATTATAGCTAAAATGGATGGAACTCGTTATCAAATAAAAAGAAACAACAATGTCGGTTTTGAAACATTTACTGCAATCAACACGAATGTCACTGACCTACTTTTACAAATATGGAAACGTCATAGAACAAACCAGATGACGTCACTATTGAACGTAACGACACCTATCCCTATCCTATGACGTCACCTAACAACAGGCGTGATAATGGCTCGTCGTCAAGCAATATGAGGGCATTATCAAGTTACAGTGGCCCACTCATTTCTGATAACATGCAGGCGGTTTAATGATAATTCTATCCATTTTAGCTATAAGCAACAATACACAGGTCATCACGACTGTCCACTGACACATCCAGTCTTTTCTGGAGACACAGCCATCTACCTTTCAGCCGACCAAACGCATTTTCAATAGTCAGCCTGGCTCGACTGAGTCTATAGTTAAATTGCCTCTGAGGAGGAGTGAGGTTTGCCTGATTGGTGTAAGGTTTTAAAAGCCAGGGTTTAAGGGGATGCACAGCATTAGCAACCAAGGTAATTGGCATAATAATTTCCTTGTCTGGAGTAGTAAGTTTTCTTTGCCACTTGGGAAACAGGTGATTGTTTTCGCCTTTATGAAACAGTTCTGAAAATCCAAAGACACGGGCGTCATGTACTCTCCCTGGCCAGCCAATGTTGATGTCAGAGAAGATGCACTTGTGGTCACATACCGCTTGTAGGATGATTGAATAGAACCCTTTCCTATTACGATAATCTCCGTGGACATGAACTGGGCCTATTATGGGAATGGATGTCCAGTCAAGGTCACAGTTCGGAAACCCCCAAGCCGATTCAAAGCCATCCAGCCCTGCTTTCAGATCATCCTCCTTTGGAAATTTGACATAGTTCAACATCATTGTGACAGTAAGTGCTTCACAAACATCTCTCAGGCACTTCCAAACAGTTGATTTCCCAACTCCAAAGAGATTTGCAAATGCCCTGGACTCTGCAGAAGATGTAAGCCAGTAGACTGCTACAGCTACTTTATGGTCAATGTCTAAACCTTCCCTAAATGGCACATTAGGCAGGGATTCCTGCAGTTCCTGACAAAGGAAGTAAAATGTTTCCCGTGTCATCCTAAAATGTTCCACCCAATCTTTGTTTTAAACTTTCCTATTACGATGTCATTCCACCAGGCTCTGGACCTTTGTTTTGTCCACACTTTTCTCTCGTGAATAAGATCCATAGCTAAACCAGTGCAGAGAAAAAAAGGCAAATCTTGTCTTCTCTTCATAACAAGTAGGACCCGTGAAGATAGAATAGGTCTTCAGCAACCCATGCTTGCCGTCAAAGGCGACTTTGCTTGTCGAAAGAGGCGACTAACGGGATCGGGTGGTCAGGCTCGCTGACTTGGTTGAAGCATGTCATCGATCCCAATTGCGTGGATCGATGCTCATGATATCAATCACTGGATTGTCTGGTCCAGACTCGATTATTTACAGACCGCCGTCATATACCTGGAATATTGCTGAGTGCGGCGTAAAACAACAAACCAACCAACCACAATGAGTAGTATGTTCATCTTGGTTTTAAGAGCGAGTGAGTGAATGAGTTGTAGAGACTGTAGAGACTGTAGAGACTGTAGAGACTGAACTACATCACTTGCATCACGAATATCTTATTGCACACGGCGCACTTTCTTCATGTGAACGCAAAATATTTTTAGTTTTGCTTATATGTGCAAATTTACTCTGTATGTAAAGATACCCAAGTGTATATATTTTGGCATGTTAACGGGGTATAAAATACAACATTTACTCACGTAAGTAATTTTACACATGTGTAACTATACATACATGTGCATATGTAAATTACTATGCGTTCACATGAAAATCTACTTAGGTGTGTAAATAAAGTATGTAAATCTACTTAGGTGTGTAAATAAAGTATGTAAATGGAGTAAGGAACATATCTTCATCAGTTTTCAAAGATGAATGGGGGGCACGGGTGGCCCAGTCGTCTAAGGTGCCGCGATTCGCTGTGCAGAGTCGCGTCCCTTAGGCACCCAGAAACCTATGATTGTGGGTTCGAATCCCGGTTCGCCCCGATTATGTTTCTAGGTTTGTCAGCACCATACCCGTGCTCGTGGGTTTTGCCGAAGTGGTAAACGCCTGAGACCTTCATCACTTCGGGCTTTCCTCTCACATTTAGCTGACACGCCGTGATATAACTGGAATACTGTTAAAAGCGGCGTTAAACCCAACTCACTCACTCAAAGTTGAATGAGAATAGAGACCATGTGTTTGATTTAATTTGTACCCAAAGTTTTAACGCCTTGAAACCCAAAGAAAACACCGTCCGCCCAGCTCCCCGATGTCTACATCAAGTTGGTACTGCTGCATACTGAATAGCGTCAACTTCAGAATACAGAACTGGTGTTGGCAAATCAACAGATATATTAATCAGATCATCCTCTTTCGTTGGCATAAACGTTCACATTGCAACATATACACACAGTGCAAATTTCCAATTACATTTGCACCTGCTCCAGACATGATATAAATTTGCCCCTGGTGTAAATATACACACATGAGTAAACGCGTTCACGTGACAAATAATTTCTTACTTTGAAGTTTACACTGTTTCTTTCATGCTGATTGGCTGAACGGGTAGTCACGTGATCTGATATTTGGAGTTCACAAACCTTAACCACAAGTCAATGAACCCGTCCAAACTGACGTTCATTTCTTAAGAATACTCACACATGTATATCTACACATGAATGCACATATAGATACATATGTATAAATCGCATGTGAACGGGTATAAGACTGGGAATACTGGATAAGCAATGTTATAACGTGCAAGGTGTGGGCAGCAGCTACCTTACAATGCATGAATGAATGCATGCATGCACGAATGAATGCAACTGCGCCCCTGAACTGAAGAGTGCGGTCGGTAAGTCATTTCTGAAAGTATATGTGAAAGTTCCTACCTGTCTCCAGTCCAGTCCAGGTAGTATCTAATATGGTTTCAGGGTCACTATATTCCCACAACACTGTATCAGATAACGACTTAAGTCCGTGCACCCGGGTCGCGTACTGTGTCGATCCGCTGCGGTGGCTTACTAAGTGATGAAAATACAGTTGGCCAGGACAAAAGACTCACCTCGACCCCACATATCCCGTCAACATAGAATGGCCTCACCTCCAACACCTGTCTATATATAGACCTTATGGTTGCCTCGGTAAAGCCGGGGCTATGCTCTGACTTTGCTCTTATCACATTGTGTCAACAAGTAATCGTATTGACACAAGTAAAACAAGTGTAGCTTTTTTTGTGCAGCTCTCAATGTGCACTCTCTATACCAGATTAAAATAATCAATACTCTACTCTTAAATTATATGTCCAATTTTTTACCAGGTCATATGCAGAGCCCATGTCTCCCCTGGGCGGTCACACACAGACGAAGGCCAGGGGTGAAGCTTTAGGCGACAGCAGCCAGGTGTATTGTTGCTGGTAGAAATATATAGGTCACATGGTATGCTGCAAGATCTTCAAGTAAAGCTCTCGGACAAATATACCAATACAAATATTTTGGGTGGTATCCCTTTCAACTCTTTTACAAAACTTTATGACAGCATGGTATGGTCGACATTAAACTACAGAGCGGCCATACGGGGAACTTCAGATCTATCTTGTATCAATGCGGTACAGAAAGGAGCAATCAGGTACTTCTTGGGATTGGGAAAGTATGCAGCTAACGCAGCAGTGAATGGTGAGACGGGATGGGTGCCTCTCATTGTACGGCAGTCGAGGACCATTACAAAACAATGGTGTAGATTCAAGATGATCCCACTTAGCGTGAACAGAATCATATTTGAGTCGGCAGAACGTTAGGCTGTTATAGAGATGAAGAAGATGGTGAGGTGAAATGAGGTTAACGTCGCGTCCAAGATTATTGCACTTATATAGCGACGTGCATGTACGTGTGTGTGTTTGTGTGGCTGCTTGTACGAGTCCGGACTGATGCCGATTTATAGTGCTAGCTCACTGAGATACCATGCCGCAGTTTAACATGAATACCCTACTCAGACACAGTATACTGACTCCGAGCCGACCAGTCCTTGTTTTAGCCCCTTAATGCCGAGCGCCAGACAGGGTAACAACAAGTTCCATCTTTTAACGTCTTTTGGTTCGACGCGGTCGGGGATCGAACCCCGGACCTTCCGCTCTCCGGGCGGACGCTCTACCACTAGACCACGGAGGCGGTCGAGATGAAGAAGAACTGGAGCAAGAGAATGATGGATAAACTGTCAGAGCTAAACCTACAGAACCCAACTATAACAGTCTATACTGTCAAGAAGTATTTGTGTAGGGACGTACTACGATGTGTAATGAAGAAATATCTCCAGGAATCGACTGAAAGTATACAGAAGAAAAATGGAAGACCAAGGAAAAATAAACAAAGAACATACATGCGTTTTAAGACAGAACATGGAACTGAAAATTATCTATTACGACATATGCCTAAGACATACCAATCACCTTTAGCCAAGTTTAAACGTGGTGTAGCGCCGATAAATATAGAAACTGGGCGGTGTGAAAATATTTAAGAAGAAAATAGAGTATGTTTTAATTGCCCATACAAAATAGAAAATAAAGCCCATGCCCCCATTGAATTGAAAAATGAAATTCATTTTCAATCGTATTAACATGTACATCATTTGGTAAAATACAATATTTACCAATTATCATTGGTTGTGTTTTACAAACAAAGGGGGCATCTCAGTTCACGTCCATGCAGCTTAATAAGGTGAACGACCAATGAAGGTCCGAGGTAGAATAAGTCTTCAGCAACCCATGTTTGCCGTAAAAGGTGACTATGCTTGTCGTAAGTGGCGACCAACGGGATCGGGTGGTCAGGCTCGCTGACTTGGTTGATGCATGTCATTGTATCCCAGTTGCGTGGATCGATGCTCGTGATGTCAATCACTGGATTGTGTGGTCCCTTTCAAGGGAAGATGACTGTACCTTTGAGTATCATTGCACTGACAGGTTCGGTGAGTCGATTGATGCATGTCATCGTATCCCAATTGCGTGTCAATCACTGGATTGTCTGGTCCATACTCGATTATTTACAGACCGCCGCCATATAGCTGGAATAGTGCGGCGTTAAACAACAAACAAACAAACAAACACCATCTTATTGGACTGTAGTGTGTTGTTTTTTTGCATATGTGCTTGATTTATGATGTATGGTATAATTCTATTGATGTTAAATGTATATGATACGTCTATAAGATTACAAAACGCTATAGATACATCTCATATAATAGACAAATGTCTATATGACAATTGATACAAAAAAGATATGTCCAAATGTAAAATTATATGATACGTTTGTAAGATGTACAAAACACTATCTAATATAAGATACAAATGTCTATATGACAACTGATATAAAATTTATATGTCTAAATGTACAATGCGACTTAAAGGTTTGAGATGACCCCCGCCACCTTCTATTGTCTTAATATCCAACCAGTACGCCTGACTGCACTCCCTATTCCAAACAATAGGTGGTGGCAAATCGAGGCCACGCATGTAGGACATCAGTCGGCGATTCGGAGTCGACGTCACGACTGGCCTGTTGGTGATCCGGGCCAATCTCCTTTATTCACCATTTCGGTCTGGTATTGTAGGGAGATGTATTGCATAGAGTGGGGCAAGGTCAGTGACCCCTATAAACATACCGGTTTATTCCAGCTATGCCAGCAGGTAACGGTATTAACCATACCGCTGCTGTTACAAGCATGGGGGTCGTGTCAAGGATACAAAAGCGATGGTCCAGAAGCGATATTTGAAATAAGAATTCACAATTCACTGCTGGCGTTGGGAGTTCTGCGGGGCGCTATCCCCATGTCACCTGCCCATGCCGTCAGTCGCCTCCAACGACAAGCATGGCATATATATTGATTTGGGATCAGGGGTTGGTGGAATGGACGCTGTATACATAAATTTAGGAATACGTTCGACCTCTCGTCTCCTCCTGTAGCACGACATTCCGCTGCGATACTTTGAGTCCTTCGAAGACGTCAAGTATTTACAAATTATCAGTGGTTTTGTTTACAAACAAAGGGGGCATCTCAGTTCACGTGCATGCAGCTTAATAAGGTGAACGACCCATGAAGGTCCGAGGTAGAATAGGTCTTCAGCAACCCATGCTTGCCGTAAAAGGTGACTATGCTTGTCGTAAGTGGCGACTAACGGGATCGGGTGGTCAGGCTCGCTGACTTGGTTGATCCATGTCATCGGTCCCAATTGCGTGGATCGATGCTCATGATGTCAATCACTGGATTGTCTGGTCCAGACTCGATTATTTACAGACCGCCGTCATATAGCCGGAATATTGCTGAGTGTGGCGTTAAACAACAAACAAACAAACAAACTTGAATCAAAAACTAAATATAGTAACTCCCACACCACTGCTTAAATTAGATAGAAAGAAGAACTCACCATTGTGAAAACACAATGCTATGAACGTCTACTGAAACTTAACAGAAACACTGTAATACAATTACAACATTGTTTACATATACATGCATCACTAAAATACAGCTTCAGTCATTCATTCACTATCAATAAATACATGCATACTTCTACTTCAGAGATATGTACAAAGTCTAGAAGTACACCAGATTTACCAGATAAAAGCAAATATGCATAAAATACCAAAATACACAAAATACCAAATTACCAATACATTGAAATATAAAAGATATGTATAGATAAGCAATACTCATTAGTCCGACCCTAATCTCATCACACTCACCTCATTCACTTAACCTTCCATTTGTTTATGTTTACAAGTCATTTAAAACCTTACTACTTATGTACTTGATTTAAATTAATGGTTAAAAGCATAATTGTTAGATTGATATAGTTTAATTATGATTACTAACTTTGATTACTTGATCTTTAATCTATTGTGAATTGCTGTGCAGCACAGGTGTGTTTGCAGCAAGAGATTAGTACTGGCAGGTGAGAAATGGATTTGAGTTTAAATGTATACTAATTGGCTAACAACAGGTAAAACTAATGATGAGCAAACAATAGAACAAAACACCCTTACAAGTAACATAGACTGGACCATTGACCTTTGACCCAGTGGAAGCTTATCAGTGGCAAATACTGATAAGGACACAACTAATAATATATAGGAAACCAGGAAATGGCACAAACCTCTGTTGAATCAAACAAGCTGAAATAGAATAAAAGTGATACCTTATCTACACTAAAAAATACTTACATATTTAAAATCTGCAGAATGAACACCTACTACAGTTACGAGGTGATTTTAAAACTGAAACACAAAGGTTAACCCAGAATGTGGTTCTCACAGAACTAAAGTGTGAAATCAGTAAATGGTTGTGACGAGATAAATGAATGAATAACAAATTATATTGAAACACCTAGGTTTAGGTTTACAAGGCAATAGCATGGGTGAAACTAGCGCCGGCAGCAGGAAGTAACAGGACCTTTAACATCGGTCAGTGCCCTCACCAATGGCCAGAATTGTCGCTGTTGAATGTCTTGAAAGAAGCGCGTGGTCCGTTCTTGAACTCAGAATAGTGTTGGAAGCCTGCATGTATTCGGTGTTTTCAGATAGGAACCCCATTGCCACTTGGCAAGTGGCTAACAGTACCTATGTCATGTGCATCAATTGCCAGCTTAAATGATTCCTCAAAATCTGGTGCTTTCAAGACTGTAGAATTCATGAGTATGGCAGTTACCTTTTCAAATGCTGTCTGGCAGAGGTTATCCCAATGATCTTTTGGTCAACAAATTAGCGAGAGGGGCCACTGCACTGATGAATTCTGAAAACATTTTCTGTAGCCCTACACAGAAATCTCATGAGTTCTTTTATATCTGTGCAACAGCTTTTACTATTACATTGACCGCTTGTACCGACCTTGATCGACGCAACATGTGCCTGGGCAAATTCACATTTTGCCTGTGATAGTCTCTCAAAGAAGGCACGGAACCTCTCCAAATGATCGCCCCACTATACTGAATGGCTTACACTGTCGTAGATGTAAGTGAACTTGTACCCTCCACAGTGAACTTGTACCCTCCATGGTGAACTTGTACCCTCCATTGGGAACTTGTACCTTGCTGGTGAGCTTATACACTCCTGGTGAACTTGAACCTTCTGGTGAACTTGCAATCACCACGCTCGGGTGAATTTGTTTAAGCTTTGTGCAAAACAGGGAGGCAGACACCAGGCTAGTAATGCTGATAGTGCTGCTTCCATTTTGAACTTGTACCTTCCATGGTGAACTTGTACCCTGCATGGTGAACTTGTTCCCCTGCATGGTGAACTTGTTCCCCTGCATGGTGAACTTGTACCCTCCATGGTGAACTTGTACCCTCCACTGGGAACTTGAACCCTCCATTGTGAACTTGTACCCTGCATGGTGAACTTGTACCTTGCTGGTGATCTTGTACCCTGCATGGTGAACTTGTACCATCCATGGTGAACTTGTACCCTCCATGGTGAACTTGTACCCTGCATGGTGAACTTGTACCATCCATGGTGAACTTGTACCCTCCATGGTGAACTTGTACCCTCCATTGGGAACTTGTACCCTCCATTGGGAACGTGTACCCTCCATGGTGAACTTGTACCCTCCACTGGGAACTTGTACCCTCCATTGTGAACTTGTACCCTCCATGGTGAACTTGTACCTTGCTGGTGATCTTGTACCCTGCATGGTGAACTTGTACCGTCCATGGTGAACTTGTACCTTCCATGGTGAACTTGTACCGTCCATTGTGAACTTGTACCCTCCATTGGGAACGTGTACCCTCCATGGTGAACTTGTACCGTCCATGGTGAACTTGTACCCTGCATGGTGAACTTGTACCCTCCATTGGGAACGTGTACCCTCCATGGTGAACTTGTACCTTGCTGGTGATCTTGTACCCTGGATGGTGAACTTGTACCTTGCTGGTGATCTTGTACCCTGCGTGGTGAACTTGTACCTTGCTGGTGAACTTGTACCCTCCATGGTGACCTTGTACCCTCCATGGTGAACTTGTACCCTCCATGGTGAACTTGTACCTTGCTGGTGATCTTGTACCCTGCATGGTGAACTTGTACCTTGCTGGTGAACTTTAACTAGCAATGGTGAACCTGTACCCTTCATGATGAACTTGTATCCTCCATGGTGAACTTGTATCCTCCATGGTGAACTTGTATCCTCCATGGTGAACTTGTACCTTCCATGGTGAACTTGTATCTTCCATGTTGAACTTGTACCCTCCATGGTGAATTTGTTCCCTCAATGGTTAACTTTTACAATCAATGGTGAACTTTTATTATCAATGGTGAACTTGTACCCTTCATGATGAACTTGTACCCTCCATGGTGAACTTGTACCCTGCATGGTGAACTTGTTCCTTGCTGGTGAGCTTATACACTCCTGGTGAACTTGCCATCACCACGCTCGGTTGAATTTGTTTAAGATTTGTGCAAAACAAGGAGGCAGACACCAGGCTAGTAACGCTGATAGTGCTGCTCAAAAGAAGATGTGCTTGACGAAGCTGATGTATGCTTCCTGTAAAGATATTTGTAATGAAAAGAATAAAGATTTCAATGTACTTCGAGAATAGGGACACTTGGCTATGTTTCTTATAGGGTCACTGATCGCAAGCAATTCCCCGGGGCTTTATGTTGCCTTTGTTATGTTTTCCCGTGAGTACCTGGATGATATGCAACGCAATTGAGCGTGACAAGAGACTGGGCTACCGTCTGCAAGGACAGTAATATTGGAAGTAATATTTGTTTTACGCATTTTTGAACACTGATTGGTTAACCGTGATCTATAAGGATTTCGACAAAGGGCGCATGTTAATTAATTTCTTCAGCCTAAACAGACAAAAAGAACGACAGAGCTCATCGGATGTCGTCGTTTGGAAATACCCCTGATGGATATAGTTTTATTTATATAAAATGTATCTATGCAGTGAAAGCATTTTCGGATTTCTCATTGTGCGGATAATACGATTACTACTCCCATGTTGTCATCCACGTGTTCTGGTATAACCCTACACTTGTGTATTTGTCATCATTCACTTGATGCTCAGTTAATGAATTTATTACAGGTATAATTAGTGGCAGCACCACTCAGAATACCTGACAAAGGTTCCCATTTGGCATTTATTGTGTTTGGTGTAATTATTCAATCTAAATCCAGGTTTGAATTGAGGTGAAATGTGTGTTATGTAATATGCACGTGGCAGCCCAGCAAGAGATGAATGATCAGTTGATTTACTTTTTTTGTTGTAAATCAACGGATCGTTCCTAGTCATCAAAAGATTAACAGAAAATACGTTGATTGATTAATCACTGTTATCTTGCACAGTTGATATGTCAAAAGTGAGTGTTTACATGTCTACTAAACGAAGGGAATACACTCATATCATGGCGTGAAGTGACGATTTAAAAACAACATACTTTGTTCAAAGGGTTATCAGATAATACGTTGATTGATTGCTCATTGGTATCTATCACTCAATGGATTTTTTAGGAACCGTTGACGTTATGAAAATAGTTGTCACGTGGGCTTTCTCAGCCGACCTTTGAGACTTGACACCCATGTGAAACACCTGAAACAATATAAGTGATCAGTTGAGAAACGAACACGGGTTATAATATCCCGAAACGATATATATATTTTAAAATATTTGATTGTTACAGAGACACGTGACATCGAATAAGTTTCTTTGTACATCTGCAGACGTGTGGGATATTGTTCCTCTGTGTGGATATTCACGGATACATTCTTCGAACAAGGAAGCTGCCTAAAATTATACACATACATTTGGTAGGTTGTAATTATGACATTTGCATTGTGTTTTCCTTCATTTGCTGAAGCATTGAACAGATTTATTCTTGTTCCTCTACGTCTTGGTTGGGAAATTCTTCGATGCGCGATAGACGTTGTTTTCACAACTTGTTTTCTTTGTAAGCATGTATATATTACAGTCAATTTGTAATATGTGATTCTCTCAGGCAATTTATAAAATGCGTAAATATTTCAGTCATTTTGACTGAAAAATCTATCCATTTCTTTAACAGTTTTACTAAAATTGATTAAGACGACCAAAAGGGTCTAAAAACATCACAATAAATTATTATGTAGGATTAGAAGCCAAAAAAAATAGATATGTACTTTTCATCGTTACATTTTCAGTCTCTTGCTGATGATATTAAAGATAAAATTGTTTGGAATTCGTTGTCATAATAATACAGATGGACATATTTTTCAGTTGATTTGTAAGAATATTTAGGCGTTTAGTAAATGTCCTAAGTGAAAATTTTGCACATTTTGACTGTAGAAACATTAACACGATAAAAAAAAAGCAATGCTCGGGAGAAATATTTACTTTGTGTTGCAAGTCAAAATAGTGTAAACGAAAATCGCACAATTACCAAGCAAGTGACTTATCAAAACTTCGTCACCATTACCGATACTACCCACAAAGATACCTACATTTCCTTATTATTTCCAAAACTGTAACAACCAGTCCCGGGGAATTGCAGAGTTGCGTCCCTTGGGCACGCCAGAAACCTATGATTGTGGGTTCAAATCCCGGTTTATGTTTCTGGGTTTGTCAGTACCATACCCGTGCTCGTGGGTTTCACCGAAGTGGTAAACATCTGAGACCTGCATCACTTCGGGCTTTCCTCCCACATTAAGCTGACACGCCGTGATATAACTGGAACACTGTTAAAAGCGGCGTTAAACCCAACTCTCACTCGAGATCACTCTTAAATAGGTTATATTTGTTGCATAGAATGGGCGCCTCGTTCGATGTTGTCTGCATGTCAAAGCGCACGTAAAATATGTAATGTTCAGTTTACTGGTTGCCGTGTGGTTAATAGAATTGCGCCCCTTACATGTATACGCAACCAAGCTCTATCACGACGCGGGACAACTTCGTTATCCATCATAGTATGGAGAGTTCAACGAATGGGCTATCGCTGTGAGGAGCTTGTAACCGCACCTGCGCGCTAACAACTTCCTGTACTTTCGTCGAGGTGACTTTACCTCACCGAAACAAGCAGGACCAAATGTTATCACAGTAATTTATCGTGAAGTAGGTTCATTTGAAGATCACCAATCATGGCATTTCGTTACCAGAAATTAATTCTGAATTTTCGACCAGGATGCAGCAGATTCAGGTTGTTGTTAGACACCGGTAAAGCGCAATCCGCAGTCGGCGCTGGTGCAGTTCAAGTTGCAAACTTGACGTCTTCTCAAAGTCATGGAAACGAAATTCAGCGAGCGAAGCCGTGGCCATACGAAACCAGGCGTTATAATCAGTACTGGCAGTTTATTGATCATACCAGAAAGCGATTTAATGACAATTCGAAGGTGATCGTTGTTGATGGAAATGTCGCCACTGGCAAGTCGGAGTTCGCAGAAAAACTTGCAACTGAATTCGACATGAAATATTTCCCAGATCCCCTCGACAGCATGATATATTTGTCCGATTCTGGGATAGATTACCGAGACCTGAACGAGCGGCTGCCACCCGGGGCCCGGAGTCTGGACATAGCAACCTTCCACATGCAGGACGTGCACCCAATTACATTGAAAACTATTGGCAGAACCCAGCTGGCTATCTACAGACATCGATTTCTCAACTATGTCAATGCACTTGAGCACTTGCTCAACACTGGTAAATAATTAGGCCCAGACGTTTCCATGTCAACTTCAGTTTACAAGACACACTAATCATGATTCTAATTAATTGTGTAGGACACTGTGTCTCACTTTGTTAGGTCTATATATCGCCATACATGATATAGCCTACTGGGGTAGGTTACCCCCAACACTATCCATAGCCTAAGAATCCCCCCCCCCCCCCCCCCCCCCCAATCCAGCATCACTTGACAGTGATTTTAGCATTAGGTACCCGTAGGGATTCGATTCGAGGTTCGAATCGGTCCCTGGCAACTTTTGCTGGTCATAAAGAGGCCACTTAAGGGACCAGTCATTTATTATGGGAGGGAATCAGGGGAGGGTCACAAAAAATACAACAGTCTGTAGTTCAGGGTCATTTTAATCATACACATTTTAGGGGAGGATCATGAAAACAATGTTGTGGAGGGTAATTATTTCCGGTATCACACGTTTTCGAGTCTAGCCTCTTTTCCAGCCCCTAAACAATATCTGACCAAGCACTCAATGACGTAATCGAGGTAGATGCTTCATCAAAGCCCACCGAAGACAACTTGCAGCTGAAGTTATGTTGCAAATGAAGCTACATGTGTAAAGATATTCAATAAGTAATGAAAATAAACCTCCAAACCTTTTTTTTCACTAATGCACATTTTAATCAAACTTGATCTGATGATAATTTTGCATCAGAACAATCATATGCACTGACGATGTATCGGCTGCTGTTTGTAAACTTCCTGTCTGTAATGTCATGTGACTGGCCATGTTTTGCATCTATTTTTAACGACTGTATTGGAGGGGCTCAAAATCATGTGACGGTAACAAGATAGCACCTGATTGACCCGTCTCACTCGGCGAGGCATTGTCGCAATAAAATTAACAAGACATGGTCATTAGACCATGCAAGTGTTTACAGAAATATATGTTCTCAAAGGTAAGACTTAATTATAGTGTATTGGGATTGTTATTAGACTTCTAAGGGGCTTGACAATCATTAACACGAGGATACATTAATGCATCTCCCACACACTGTAATAAATGACTGGTCCCTAATGGTCAATGTGCCCCAAATGCGTGGATCATTGCTCAATATATTAATCACTAGCTTGTCTGACCCAGACTAAATTATTTGCAGACCGCAGTCCTATAGCTGGAATATTGCTGAGTGCGGCATTAAACTACAAACAAACAAGCCTGGATCAGCTGATGATGTCCTGATTCTGTAGCATGATCAGCTTCACAGATTACCAGCTGATCCCAAGGACTGACTGCTTCTCGTTCCTATTGGCATAACACGTCCGTGCCAGCAGTTAGTATTTACTGGTGAACACTGGAGGTTCCTGTCTGCATCTTGTATGACATCCTCAATTATCCACTGTAGTATACCTCTATGTTATTGTGATATACAGGATGGTCAGGTAGCCTAGTGGTTAAAGTGTTTGCTAGTCACGCCGAAGACCCAGGTTCCATTCCTGACATGGGTACAATGTGTGAAGCTCATTTCTGGTTTCCACCGCCGTGAGAGTGCTAGAATATTGCTCAAAGCGGCGTAAAACCTCACTCACTCACTCACTATTATGATATACCCATTCACTACCTTAGATTCATTCTAAGCCCAATTTCAATAACAGGAAACTAAAAATAGCCATCCAGTCAAATAACACTCTGTGCTGTTAGTGATTTTTCGAATGGAAGCTTTGATGTAAAATGGATCCTGGTTATTTAACAGAATGGACATGATGGAGGACTCATACTCTGTATAAATAAGGATGCTGTTATCACTGTGTATGAAAGGAACAATGAAAGTTTCAAGGAGTAGTTTCTGTTGTTCCAGGACAAGGCGTGGTGATCGAGAGGGGACCGTGGAGTGACCTTGTGTTCGCAGACACGTTGAGGAAACTTGGCTACATGACAGGAAATGGTAAAGGAGCAGAGCTCCAGATAAGCTGCGTATCTGCGTGAAATACGCATCAGAAATGCAGAAATACACAGTAAAATATAATCCAAGCGTATCAAATACGCAACGAACATTACAGATACGCTACAAAAATAAAACTTGTACGTATCTTCGAAATATTGTGGAGTAACCCTGCGTATTCGATTAGCAAATCAGCAACTTATTTTTAAATTATAAACGGGCATTCCGTCAACCGTGCCAAACTCCACGATGACAGTTACATCATGATCATTTGCCATCACACTTTCTTGTGGAAGTATCGTGGTATTTTTGAGTCCTATAAAGCTCTCGAACCCACACGACACCAGTTTGCAGGGACTAGAGGAATAGTGTTTTTAAATATTTAACTTAAATACCCACATGTGTAAAAACTAGTGGGTAACAGAAATTTGAATACGCAGATAGAATTACTGATACCCAATGATTTTAAAATGCATGGGTAAAATACCCACAACACCAAAAGCTTATCTGGAGCTCTGAGGAGACATTTGGAACAATGTGTCATTTTGTATTCATTGAACTTTCTGTCAATTTGCTCACCAATGCATCATTAAATATAGCATTTTATACCCAATGTAGTTTTTTGCCAAAGCTATTCGCATGATTTGGTTGCTTTGGTTGTCCAAATTAATCCTGTTAATATCTTACCATATTATTGTTCAGAAAAATTATTATTATCTCATAGTACATGTAGTAAACATGGTAACTACTAGGGGTGTCATGATAAAACGAAATATCGAAATATCACGTATATTGCTATTGGTTAGCACTTAAAGTCAATAAATAAATTGTTAAATTACTTTCTGATCAATAGTATCGATTTCAGTTAGGAATATCGATAGTTTCGATTGTAATTACCATATAAAAATAATACATGCAATGCTGTTCATATTTGTGTTTCTGTGGATCATGAGTGGTAGTAATTTACACATGGTAATGTGGAAGTTTCTTGTTCTTAAATTATTAGGGTAAAGAAAAAACAAATCAGTCATATGTCAAACTTTACTTTTTATTTGTTGTTGGTTATGGTTATCACATTCAAAGGAAACTTCAGTTCCAAGGTTTAATTCAACTCTAAAGTCCATCTAAAATGATACACTGAAAACTATCAATATTTATCATAATAGTTGCTTTCAATATCAATAGTTATTTCAATAGTTGCTTTCAATATCAATAGTTTTTGCAATAGTAATTTCCAGACCAATAGTCACCCCTAGTAACTACTTAAAAGACAAAGTGTATAGTTTCTATTTTTAACATGTTTAATGCTGGAATGCTATAGTTTTGCAGTGTTTTGCCTGAAATGATTTTTGATGGTTATTCCGTGATAAAGCTTTGTCATTTATGTAAATTTGGTAGAGACTTTTTGTTTCAAACATGTACATGATGTATGATGGATTTGCATCATCGATTCATGGGTTGGTATACACTACATTCCTCATCACATGTGATTACAACCAACCGCTGTGAGGTGGATTTGTCTAATGTTAGTTAGTTTAGTTTTTTCAATTAAGATGAGCTCTACTCGGTTCATAGTCGCTCTATGGCTGAAATAAATGCCGATGTGACGTTAGATTTTAACTCACTCACTTCATGAGCTTTGTGAGAACCCAGGGATTTATCTAGGATTCCCAACTAACTTCCCTTGACAGGCAAATTGGACAAAGTCATTAGTTTGTGCTTATAGTCTGGAAGGTAATTTAAGGTACCGACGTTTACTACAATATCTAAAAAACTAACGGACCTACTCCAGTCAAAGTTGGTATGAGATTATTAAACAGTCATACATAACTGGATATTACATTTAAAGACAATCGGTGCATGAATAAAAAATCTGTCACTATATTTCATCAACAACCAGACCTGTTCGTCACGGGTGGAACGAGCATTCATTGAAACAGCCATCTGCATAATGCTACCCCTGCGTCACATGGCCACATGACACAGTTGAACCAATCAACTCAACTCGAAAGGGTGCACGGGAATCATGCACGCATGAATACGGTGTTAGCGTTGGGCGTCTCAACGTGCGTGATTCCCGTACAGATATTGTAGTAAACGTCAGCACCTTAAATTACCTTCCAGACTATAATTAGGATTATTTTTAAAGTTTATATTTTCCTAAATTGAGATGTATTTTAACTGTATATTGGCCCTGTTATCTGTGAAGACAACAAGACACAAGACACCGCAACTAAACCAAAACAGCATTTTGGCTTAATTGTTGAATTCTAATATGGGATTTTTTTTACTGACATCATCTTCCCAAGGCAAGAGAGTTAACTGACTTTAAAAGTCCAGTTTCCACCCTTGCCGCACTAGGCTAGAATTACTTGGCTCGATCGTAGCGCCACAAGTGGCTATTACCAATTATGTCCCTTCTAACCCTCTCCTATGGACCAGTCAGATTCCACCTGTTGTATCACTTCCGTTTGCTTCAAACAAAATGGTGGCGCTGAGTCAGGACGATCTGATCGATAATCAAGACCTAATTGTGATAAAACGGGTCTTACATCGCAAAATGCATCAGATCACGTGAGCACCTTGATTAAAAGCATAAAAAGATTTGGAAAATATCTGCTGACAACAAGTTGGCGGTGCACATGCTTTGCAAATCCTGCAATCGACCGAAATCTGGACGACAGTATACGAACTGGATTTTAATGTCATTGCGCGATTTTGATTGGACTATGCATAGACTTGTTAGTCCAGCCAAAATGTAACTCCATAATACCAGCCTAGTTCGGCAAGGGTGGAAACTGGACTTCATAGTCAGTTAAATCTCTTGCCTCGGGAAGATGACTGACATTTGCTCCGGACTTTGAGCCAAATATCAGCCTCCTGGCAGGTCTAAATGAATCAGTGGAACCCTACCACTATCCTCAGTACTATTGCCGGATTCTGGAACAGTGTGTATGGTAAACAAATGTCAGATGGCTATGACTCTTACCAGAGGAAATATTGCTGACGTAATCTGAGCATTCATTGGTCTGAGCACTCACTGGTAGAGGCCTTGATTCGTTGGTTAAACAAGTGACTACACAAAGCAGCCGTAGGGTTGTCATGAAGGAACGTGTGTGTGTGTGCAATGACAACCTGTGAAGTATTGACGATTATGGAGTCATCAGATGATCAGCTTATATCCGAGAAGGATATGTCAGGTGTTCTACGTATGTTTGCAGGTTACAGATACTACCAGCAGTGGCGAGACAACACAATATGTGAGTTGTGGAAACCTCATCTGGTGCTCTACCTGGACGCTCCAGTTAGCGATGTCCGACAACGCATCAACACACGCGGGCGGGTATGTACACTATATGCTGTCCACAAAGGTGGGGAACGGTTTACTGTGCAGAGTTACGTCCCTTTGTCCATCAAGATCCTGCTGGTCGCAGGTTCAAATCCCAGATTGGCTCTGATTATGATGCTTGGTCGTTCAGCACAAAGTAAACATCTTCAACCCTGACAACCAGGGCCCCATTCCACAAAGCAATTGTAGCCCAACGGCAGTCGTAAGTCAATGTTATAGTATGGGAGTTCTATATGAGATCACCTAGATGCCGTGATGTCTATGTGGAACGGACCACAGGGCACTCCTATCCTTCTATGTTAAGCACTGTGTCTGTTCAAGGAATATTTTGGGTTTTGTGTTACCATGGTTACGGTATTATTTTCAAGGGCTGTACACGGTGGAAGGTTTTTACTCTATATTGAACTTATCGATCAACTCCCAAGATGTCATGTGTATGTTCTGTGTGAAGATGGGTCTTGGTAACGTAAAACTAATATATATATTTCTGAAGTAGTTTTATACATCTCTCATTTGCTTATCCAATGCGATCGCCTTCATGGTGTAGTGGTAATGCGTCTGCCTGGAGAGTGGAGGTTGTAGGTTCAATTCCCGGCCGCGTCATACCAAAAGATGTTGAAATATGGTACTTGTTGTTACCCTACCTGGTGCTCTACTTTTAGGGGCTAAAACAAGGACTGGTCGACTTGGAGTCAGTATACTGTGTCTATGTGGGGTATTCATGTTAAACTGTGGCATGGTCTCTCAGTGAGCTAACACTATAAATTTGGTATTGGTCCGGACAAGCACAAGCAGACAGACACAGACATGCAAACATGTGCATGCAAGTCGCTATATAAGTGCAAAAATCTTGAACGCGACGTTAAACCCCATTTCCCTAGCCATGATATTGCTGGATTAGTGCGAAACGCGATGCTCACTCACCTTAGAAGTAAATTAGGCCACGCCCACTATCGGTCTACTGTTTTCTGATTGGCTGACATTCGGGTGAGAAGGGCTTGTGTTGCATTGTCGCGCTGAACAATGTCTTTGATATCGTATTTGTTGTGGTAATGGTTAATTCAAGCATGAATTTTGAAAATCAGAGGTATCAAATAACAATAAACCCTCTCTGATTGAAACAGGCGATTTGACTGCCTCATCACCACAGAATCTAATATTTTTAGAATAGTACTTCTTTTACAGTCATTATCAGTAGGAATATATTTATATAATTATATGTACAAATTATTGGCTACAAAATTTAAAGTTGCAGTTACTACAATATTCAAAGGATGTGTGGCAATAGATTTCGTTCAGAAAACACGATAGAAATCTACAAAGAGAATGTATTTCCAGTTTTGAGGACATCATAGAGCTTGCTGTTTGGCGCTTTTCTTTATACCATTTACATCGTTGACGATTGCACGTTCGGTTCCAAATTCATTTTAGCATGGTTAAATCTACAGATAGCCCAGCCCTACATTGTATGTTTATCTCGTAAGTAGGCAGTCTGTGAAATTACTGTTGTTGACTGGTTTATTTATAAGAATTGACTTCCATATGTTGTTTTCATTTATGGAGGTATGAAAGTAAAACCATGTGCCCACTTCACGTAAGTCCACCATAGAGTCAGATTTATACAGTGTGTACACCCATTTGCACGTTTATACCTCAGTAAATGAAAAAAATGTATTGACATCATTTCTTCGATATACCAAAGTACAACTGTGTCCAGTTGTCATGGCGATGTTGATAACATGTTGGCGACTTTGTCATCACAGCCATCAGAGGTGAAAGGGAAGGTCGTGACGGATAAGTACCTGCAGACTGTTGAGGACGCCTACAAGAAGATGGTCCTCCCTAACTACAGGTGAGCTCAAACACCCCACCCTTCCACACACACACATACACACACCCACACACACACACACACACACTGCCTTGACTACAGGTAAAACCTTCCTCACTACAGGTAAACCTCCCTAACTACAGGTAAACCTCCCTCACTACAGGTAAACCTTCCTCACTACAGGTAAGCCACCCTCACTTACAGGTAAGCCTCCCTTACTACAGGTAAACCTTCCTCACTGCAGGTAAACCTTCCTCACTACAGGCAAACCTCCCTCACTACAGGCAAACCTCCCTCACTACAGTTAAACCTCCCTCCCTGCAGGTAAACCTTCCTCACTACAGGCAAACCTCCCTCACTGCAGGTAAACCTCCCTCACTGCAGGTTAACCTCCCTCCCTGCAGGTAAACCTTCCTCACTACAGGTGAACCTCCCTCACTACAGGTAAACCTCCCTCATGACAGGCAAACCTCCCTCACTGCAGGTTAACCTCCCTCACTACAGGTAAACCTCCCTCACTACAGGTAAACCTCCCTCATGACAGGCAAACCTCCCTCACTACAGGTAAGCCTCCCTTACTACAGGTAAACCTCCCTCACTGCAGGTAAACCTTCCTCACTACAGGCAAACCTTCCTCACTACAGACAAACCTTCCTCACTACAGGCAAACCTCCCTCACTGCAGGTAAACCTCCCTCACTGCAGGTTAACCTCCCTCCCTGCAGGTAAACCTTCCTCACTACAGGTGAACCTCCCTCACTACAGGTAAACCTCCCTCATGACAGGCAAACCTCCCTCACTGCAGGTTAACCTCCCTCACTACAGGTAAACCTCCCTCACTACAGGTAAACCTCCCTCATGACAGGCAAACCTCCCTCACTACAGGTAAGCCTCCCTTACTACAGGTAAACCTCCCTCACTGCAGGTAAACCTTCCTCACTACAGGCAAACCTTCCTCACTACAGGCAAACCTCCCTCACTGCAGGTAAACCTTCCTCACTACAGGCAAACCTTCCTCACTACAGGCAAACCTTCCTCACTACAGGCAAACCTCCCTCACTACAGGTTAACCTCCCTCCCTGCAGGTAAACCTCCCTCACTGCAGGTAAACCTCCCTCACTGCAGGTTAACCTCCCTCCCTGCAGGTAAACCTCCCTCACTGCAGGTAAACCTCCCTCCCTGCAGGTTAACCTCCCTCCCTTTAGGTAAACCTCCCTCACTGCAGGTTAACCTCCCTTACTGCAGGTAAACCTCCCTCACTGCAGGTAAACCTCCCTCCCTGCAGGTAAACCTCCCTCACTACAGGTAAACCTTCCTCACTACAGGCAAACCTTCCTCACTACAGGCAAACCTCCCTCACTACAGGAAAACCTCCCTCACTACAGGCAAACCTCCCTCACTACAGGTAAACCTCCCTCCCTTTAGGTAAACCTTCCTCACTACAGGCAAACCTTCCTCACTACAGGCAAACCTTCCTCGCTACAGGTAAACCTTCCTCACTACAGGTAAACCTCCCTCACTACAGGTAAACCTCCCTCTATACAGGTAAACCTTCCTCGCTACAGGTAAACCTTCCTCACTACAGGCAAACCTCCCTTACTGCAGGCAAACCTTCCTCACTACAGGTAAACCTCCCACACTACAGGCAAACCTTCCTCACTACAGGTAAACCTCCCTCACTACAGGCAAACCTTCCTCACTACAGGTAAACCTTCCTCACTACAGGCAAACCTCCCTCACTGCAGGTAAACCTCCCTCGCTGCAGGTAAACCTCCCATGCTACAGGCAAACCTTCCTCACTACAGGTAAACCTTCCTCGCTACAGGCAAACCTTCCTCGCTACAGGCAAACCTTCCTCACTACAGGTAAACCTTCCTCGCTACAGGTAAACCTTCCTCACTACAGGTAAACCTCCCTTACTGCAGGCAAACCTTCGTCACTACAGATAAACCTCCCTCACTACAGGCAAACCTCCCTCACGACAGGTACACCTTCCTCACTGCAGGCAAACCTTCCTCACTACAGATAAACCTCCCACACTACAGATAAACCTCCCACACTACAGGCAAACCTCCCTTACTACAGGTAACAACAAGGACTGGTCAGCTCAAAGAGCCTATTCTGTGTCTGAGTGGGTATCTGTGGGATGGTATCTCAGTGGGATGGCACTTTTAAATCAGCTTTTGTCTGCATAGCGGGCATGCACACACAAACGCACGCACGCACGTAGGCACGCACACACACACAGGCACGCACGCGCACACACGCACACGTTTTAGCTTGGCATAGGAAAGGAGGAAGAATATAATGCTAAAGATTAGTTTCAGTAAAACCACTGGGTTGGCATGCTGACAGTCTTTATGGGCATTGCTCAAGTCTAGTTCATGGGCCCATGGGGTCCCTGTCAGCTGTAGGGAGATGGAGCTGACATTTGTTGGAGATTATTCATCCGTTTGCAATTCAAAACTTGATGAACTACATATCTATTCTGCTTCCTCTTTTCAGCAAGTATTCCATGGTCCTGAAATACGATGTCGCAGACCTGCCTGACTGGGAGATCGTGAGTAGACAATACTTGACATGGAATATAAGGCCTGACTGGGAGATAGTGAGTAGACAATACTAGACATGGAATATAAGGCCTGACTGGGAGATAGTGAGTAGACAATGCTAGACATGGAATGTAAGGCCTGATTAGGAGATAGTGAGTAGACAATACTAGACATGGAATATAAGCCCTGACTAGGAGATAGTGAGTAGACAATGCTAGACATGGAATATAAGGCCTGATTAGGAGATAGTGAGTAGACAATACTAGAATGGAATATGATGCCTGACTAGGAGACAGTGTGGAGACAATTCTAGACATGGAATATAAGGCCTGATTAGGAGATAGTGAGTAGACAATGCTAGACATGGAATATGATGCCTGACTGGGAGATAGTGTGAAGACAATGCTAGACATGGAATATAAGGCCTGATTAGGAGGTAGTGAGTAGACAATACTAGACATTGCCTGACTGGGAGATAGTGAGTAGACAAAACTAGACATGGAATATGATGCCTGATTAGGAGATAGTGAGTAGACAATACTAGACATGGAATATAAGGCCTGAATGGGAGATAGTGAGTAGACAATACTAGACATGGAATATAAGGCCTGATTAGGAGGTAGTGAGTAGACAATACTAGACATGGAATATAAGGCCTGAAATATTGAGTTCCCAGTTTGTGAAACTGCAGCAGAGCGAAATGTGAAACTGACTTGAAGGTGAGACAAAGAGACATGGAACTTTCATAACCTCAACCCTGTCCACATGTCTGTTAGTTTCATTTAGATAGGAACTTTGACATAATATTACATCATATGAATAAAAGTATGGAAGTAGGAAAGTAACATATTAAAGGCATGTATGAATTTCCTTTTGTATTTACTTATATTTTGACAAAAAGATGTTTGACCTTGCAGATTGTGGAGGAACTTGAGAGCCTTGACCTTGACACACAAACTCTTGAGAATGAAGAACGGTTTCAAGATTGGATGAAGACACGAGAGGATGATTGGAACCATTACCGATGCCTGTAAGTCCCTCGCTGCTGTTTCCATGCCATCTTGCCATGTTGTTTTTGTTACATGGCCGTGTATGTATTGTAATGAGAGATGTCACTTATTATCATTTGTCTGTCATGGGTTTCATTGCCACATCAACTCAGTTATCATCATTGTCATGTTGCAGGTTTCACTGCCACGTTGTCTCATTTGTCATCATTGTGATGTTACGGGTTTCACCGCCACACGGTCTCATTTATCATCATTGTCATGTTGCGGGTTTCACTGCCACGTTGTATCAGGTCTCATCATTGTCATGTTGCAGGTTTCACTGCCACGTTGTCTCATTTGTCATCATTGTGATGTTACGGGTTTCACCGCCACACGGTCTCATTTATCATCATTGTCATGTTGCGGGTTTCACTGCCACGTTGTATCAGGTCTCATCATTGTCATGTTGCAGGTTTCACTGCCACGTTGTCTCATTTGTCATCATTGTGATGTTACGGGTTTCACCGCCACACGGTCTCATTTATCATCATTGTCATGTTGCGGGTTTCACTGCCACGTTGTATCAGGTCTCATCATTGTCATGTTGCGGGTTTCACTGCCACGTTGTATCAGGTCTCATCATTGTCATGTTGCAGGCTTCACGTTCACATTGTCTTAGGTCTCATCATTGTCATGTTGCTGGGTTTCACTGCCACATTGTCTCAGGTCTCATCATTGTCATGTTGCGGGTTTCACTGTCACATTGTCTCAGTTGTCATCATTGGTCTCGTGGGTTTCGCAGTCACATTGTCTCAGTTGTCATCATTGTCATGTTGCAGGTGTCATTGCCACATTGTCTCAGGTCTCATCATTGTCATGTTGCGGGCTTCACTGCCACGTTGTCTCAGTTGTCATCATTGTCATGTTGCGGGTTTCACTGCCACGTTGTATCAGGTCTCATCATTGTCATGTTGCTGGGTTTCACTGCCACATTGTCTCAGGTCTCATCATTGTCATGTTGCGGGTTTCACTGTCACATTGTCTCAGTTGTCATCATTGGTCTCGTGGGTTTCGCAGTCACATTGTCTCAGTTGTCATCATTGTCATGTTGCAGGTGTCATTGCCACATTGTCTCAGGTCTCATCATTGTCATGTTGCGGGCTTCACTGCCACGTTGTCTCAGTTGTCATCATTGTCATGTTGAGGGCTTCATGGTCACATTGTCTCAGTTGTCATCATTGTCATGTTGGAGGTTTCAGTGTCACATTGTCTCAGGTGTCATCATTGGTCTGTCAAGATTGACTCAGTTGTCATCATTGGTCTCGTGGGTTTCACTGTCACATTGTCTCAATTGTCATCATTGTCCATCTTCCCGAGGCAAGGGAGTTAACTGATTATAAAAGTCCAGTTTCCACCCTTGCGGAACTAGGCTGGTATTATGGAGTTACATTTTGGCTGGACTAACAAGTCTATGCATAGTCCAATCAAAATCGTGCACTGAAATCAAAATCCGGTTCGTAAAGTGTCATGCAGATTTCGGTCGACTGCAGGATTTGCAAGGCATGTGTACCGCTAACTCGTTGTCAACAGATATTTTCTAAATCTTTTCATGCTTTTAATCAAGGTGCTCACGTGATTTGATGCACTTCGCGATGTAAGTCTTGTTTTTATCACAATATAGATCTTGATTATCAATCAGATCGTCTTGACTGGGGCCACCGTTTTGTTTGAAGCAAATGCAAGTGATACGAGAGGTTGAATCTGATTGGTCCATAGGAGAGGCATAGAAAGGACATAACTCGTAATAGCCACTGGTGGCGCTACGATCGAGCCCAGGAATTCCAGCCTAGTTTGGCAAGGGTGGAAACTGGACTTTTAAAGTCAGTTAACTCTCGTGCCTCGGGAAGATGTCATTGTCATGTTGCAGGTTTCACTGTCACATTGTCTCAGTTGTCATCATTGTCATGTTGGGGGTTTCACTGTCACATTGTCTCAGGTGTCATCATTGCTCTGTCAACATTGACTCAGTTGTCATCATTGGTCTGCCATGGGTTTCACTGCCACATTGACTCAGTTGTCATCATTGGTCTGCCATGGGTTTCACTGTCACATTGTCTCAGGTGTGAGCATTGTCATGTTGCAGGTTTCACTGCCACATTGACTCAGTTATCATTGTCATGTTGCGGGTTTCACTGCCACATTGACTCAGTTGTCATCATTGGTCTGCCATGGGTTTCACTGTCACATTGTCTCAGGTGTGAGCATTGTCATGTTGCGGGTTTCCCCACAACATTGTCTCAGGTGTGAGCATTGTCATGTTGCGGGTTTCCCCACAACATTGTCTCAGTTATCATTGTCATGTTGCGGGTTTCCCCGCAACATTGGCTCAGTTATCATTGTCATGTTGCGGGTTTCACTGCCACATTGACTCAGTTGTCATCATTGGTCTGCCATGGGTTTCACTGTCACATTGTCTCAGGTGTGAGCATTGTCATGTTGCGGGTTTCCCCACAACATTGTCTCAGGTGTGAGCATTGTCATGTTGCGGGTTTCCCCACAACATTGTCTCAGTTATCATTGTCATGTTGCGGGTTTCCCCGCAACATTGGCTCAGTTATCATTGTCATGTTGCGGGTTTCACTGCCACATTGTCTCAGTTATCATTGTCATGTTGCGGGTTTCACTGCCACATTGACTCAGTTGTCATCATTGGTCTGCCATGGGTTTCACTGTCACATTGTCTCAGTTATCATTGTCATGTTGGGGGTTTCACTGTCACATTGTCTCAGTTATCATTGTCATGTTGGGGGTTTCACTGTCACATTGTCTCAGTTATCATTGTCATGTTGCAGGTTTCACTGCCACATTGACTCAGTTGTCATCATTGGTCTGCCATGGGTTTCACTGTCACATTGTCTCAGGTGTGAGCATTGTCATGTTGCGGGTTTCCCCGCAACATTGTCTCAGTTATCATTGTCATGTTGCGGGTTTCCCCGCAACATTGTCTCAGTTATCATTGTCATGTTGCGGGTTTCACTGCCACATTGACTCAGTTGTCATCATTGGTCTGCCATGGGTTTCATTGCTACATTGACTGTTGTCATCATTGGTCTGCAATACTGTTCAGAGATGTTAAAGCAAACATTTCCACCGACTCCCTCACCGGACATATTAGTGGCAGCAATGTGAAGTATATGACAACAACTCCTTTGTTCTAGGATGTCCTCCAAGTGGCAGATCGAGAACCTGTTCCAGATCCCCGCACCATGGGATGCGCCCGAGATGATGGTCAGCGGCGAAGACCTGAAGGAGTTCATCCTGCTGGTTGATAGTGTATGTATATCACACTATATTTACACGGGGACTGGTCCCTGAATAGAGTTTAGATGAAGAGAGTTTGGATGAAGATTGTTAGGTTAGCTTGTGACCTCCCAAGAAAAAGAGTGAGTGAGTGAGTATGGTTTTACGCCGCTTTTAGCAATATTCCAGCAATATCACGGCGGGGGACACCAGAAATGGGCTTCACACATTGTGTCCATGTCGGAAATCAAACCCGGGTCTTCGGCGTGACGAGCGAACGCTTTAACCACCAGGCAACCCGACCGCCCCACAAAGTAAAAGATAAAAGAAGCTATTACAAAATAAAATATAGGCACCATATTTTCAAAATCAGCATTTTATCAATAGAATGCATCATTTAAAAATATCTTAGTGAAATAAAAGTTTGGTTCAAATGTAAAACAGAACAAAGACCTGCTGTGGCTTAAAGGGGAAGTGTACACGCAAAAATCACTTTCTTTCTTTTTCTGAACAAAACGCAATTTTAGAATTAATTAGTATCTGTGTTTGAAAATATACACTCATTTTTTCACAGTGAAAGTAGGAAGCTCACAATAGTGTGAAAATGATATGCCGTTATGAGGCCTTCGTTTTTCGAGCTAAACATGCCTGAGTTATCCCCCTTAGATTATGACGTAATTGGTGCCAATTCAACTGGGTCCCTGTCTATTTTCAACGCAAAAGATATCAAGTACCAGTTTGCGGTAAAACAACATGGCCTACGACACAATCCGGCGCAGTGGTGACTCAGCATAACACTATGCTGGCTGGCATCTGAGACGCTAGAATCACACACCTGGACCTACACCACGTGAAGCGGCTCTAACAAAGCATGATGACGTCATAATGTTTATCAATTGGCACCAATGACGTCATATTGCAAGGGGCATAAGCCATGGTGTTTTTGTTGTGGAAATAGAACACTTGGTAAATGTGAAAAATATAAATCGTTTTAATGCGAAAAATATGTTAATTAATTGTGATATTTTTATATTTTTGTCTTTGACACCTCTAGGTTAACACTTTTAATGTGGAAAAAGTACAAGAAAAATAGGTTCATTTCCGTGTGAACTTGCCCTTTAAGTTACATCCCACTAATATGGGAAGAAGTAACATTTTTCACTGTTTTTCATTCTATATTTGCAGATTCCTGATTTGAAATTTGCTGCAGGATACAACCCAGAGAAAGCAAACGTACTATTGAAGTTCTGATCACTATATTTATAGCTGTTTATTCATGTATATTGAGAACAGTGCTCCTCTTTAAGTCATGGTTATTAGCACAACACTGAAACATGTTGGCTTTCTGGCAAAGAAGTGAAGAACTTTTGAAAATGAAGATGATTGTGTCTGTGGAGTCTGAAGATCTACTCACGTGTAGTCTGAAGAAGCAAACAGATTGGGAATCATTAAGGATGAGGTTCAGATTGTTGTTTTGTTGTCAAGCTAATCCTGACATTATCATAGTGCTGTGTGCTGAAAGGTGGAATTAAAGTATTTGAGAAGTTACTTGCTGTATGGAGTTTCCTGTTTTCATCAGTTAACGCAGGAACTTGTGACGGATGGCTCAGTCATCGAGTCACAGATTTGCATCCCATGGTCATCATAGTTGTGAGTTGAATCCAAGAATCACATTATGAATCTTAGTGGGCACCATACCCATGCTATAACATGGGATAAAGTCAAGGAACTGCCCCCTTTGGGCTTTCATCCCAGGTTAAGTAGTGATATGGTTCAGATTGAGTGAGTATGATTTTATGCAGCTTTTAACAATATTCCAGCAATATTACGGCGAAATGGGCTTTTATTCATAGTACCCATGTGGGGAATCAAACCCGGGTCTTCAGCGTGACAAGCGAACGCTTTAACCTCCAGGCTACCTCACCGCCCCTTGTTCAGAAAAAGGTTAAACCAAACTCACAGACTGAAACTGTCATCTTTGTGAAACTACTCACACTTGTTCACAGGTTCGAATCCCAGATGCACCTAATATTATCATACACGTAATGGTACAACTGAAATACTCCCACATCAAGCTGACACACCATGATATAACTGAAATATTCCCACATCAATCTGCCACCAAGTGATACAACTGAAATACTCCCACATCAAGCTGACACGCCATGATATTACTGAAATAGTCCAACTTCAAGTTGACACGCCATAACTGAAATACTCCCACATCAAGCTGACACTCCATGATGCAACTGAAATACTCCCACATCAAGCTAACACTCCGTGATGCAACTGAAATACTCCCACATCAAGCTGACACACCATGATATAACTGAAATACTCCCACATCAAGCTGACACCCAGTGATACAACTGAAATACTCCCACATCAAGCTAACACTCTGTGATACAACTGAAATACTCCCACATCAAGCTGACACACCATGATATAACTGAAATACTCCCACATCAAGCTGACACCCAGTGATACAACTGAAATACTCCCTCATCAAGCTGACACGCCATAACTGAAATACTCCCACATCAAGCTGACACGCCATGATATAACTGAAATACTCCCACATCAAGCTGACACACCATGATATAACTGAAATACTCCCACATCAAGCTGACACACCATGATACAACTGAAATACTCCCACATCAAGCTGACACGCCATGATACAACTGAAATACTCCCACATCAAGCTGACACACCATGATATAACTGAAATACTCCCACATCAAGCTGACACGCCATGATATAACTGAAATACTCCCACATCAAGCTAACACTCCGTGATGCAACTGAAATACTCCCACATCAAGCTGACACTCCGTGATACAACTGAAATACTCCCACATCAAGCTAACAATCCATGATTCAACTGAAATACTCCTACATCAACCTGACACACCATGATATAACTGAAATACTCCCACATCAAGCTGACACATCATGATATAACTGAAATACTCCCACATCAAGCTGACACACCATAACTGAAGTACTCCCACATCAAGCTGACACGCCATGATATAACTGAAATACTCCCACATCAAGCTGACACACCATGATATAACTGAAATACTCCCACATCAAGCTGACACACCATGATACAACTGAAATACTCCCACATCAAGCTGACACGCCATGATATAACTGAAATACTCCCACATCAAGCTGACACAACATAACTGAAATACTCCCACAACAAGCTAACACTCCGTGATGCAACTGAAATACTCCCACATCAAGCTGACACTCCGTAATACAACTGAAATAGTCCCACTTCAAGTTGACACACCATGATACAACTGAAATACTCCCACATCAAGCTGACACGCCATGATATAACTGAAATACTCCCACATCAAGCTGACATGCCATGATATAACTGAAATAGTCCAACTTCAAGTTGACACGCCATAACTGAAATACTCCCACATCAAGCTAACACTCCGTGATGCAACTGAAATACTCCCACATCAAGCTTACACTCCATGATACAACTGAAATACTCCTACATCAACCTGACACACCATGATATAACTGAAATACTCCCACATCAAGTTTACACACCATGATATAACTGAAATACTCCCACATCAAGCTAACACTCCGTGATACAACTGAAATACTCCCACATCAAGCTGACACTCCGTGATACAACTGAAATACTCCCACATCAAGCTGATACGCCATGATATAACTGAAATACTCCCACATCAAGCTGACACACCATGATATAACTGAAATGCTCCCACATCAAGCTGACACGCCATGATGTAACTGAAATACGCCCACATCAAGCTGACACTCCGTGATACAACTGAAATACTCCCACATCAAGCTGACACCCTGTGATATAACTGAAATACTCCCACATCAAGCTGATACGCCATGATATAACTGAAATACTCCCACATCAAGCTGACACACCATGATATAACTGAAATACTCCCACATCAACCTGACACGCCATGATATAACTGAAATACTCCCACATCAAGCTGACACACCATGATATAACTGAAATACTCCCACATCAACCTGACACGCCATGATATAACTGAAATGCTCCCACATCAAGCTGACACGCCATGATATAACTGAAATGCTCCCACACCAATCTGGAATGCCGTGATATAACTGAACTACTGCCTAGAACCCACTCCCTGATGATTGATTGTGAGCCTATGGAAGTTACAGTTACTGAAAATCAGAAATGAATGTTGTTAAAACTCCGCAGTCAGAAATATTCCAGCTATACAGCAGCGGCCTGTAAATGTCGTCCCGGCAAACCAATCGTTGACATTGAACTACAGTAAACTACCTTCATGAAGAACACGCTTATAACGAACTGTTTTTTTTAGTCCGGGCCAATTGCTGTATATATGTGCTAAAAACGAACTACGGTTATAACAAAATCAAATTAGTGGTCTCTATGTGTTCGTTATGACCGTAGTTTACTGTTCGTCACATGCCGCCGAGGTACAGCGCCAGGCAGTCGACCATAAGTCATTGAAACAAGCGGAGTCACATTTAGACGGCTGTGTCGTGACACGTATCGTTCAAAGGCACCCTAAACCGAACTCTCTTTGATCAAACGTGGCTATAACTCAAGAAGAAATACCACTGTCTGTCTGTCGCCCCGGTGACGTCTTATATTGTCAGTTATTAGTATGGAGAAGGCCATCTTCCCGAGGCAAGGGCGTTAACTGACTAAAACTGGACTTTTATAGTCAGTTAACTCCGTTGTCTCGGGAAGATGGGTTTGGTTTGTTTGTTGAAAAAGGCCGCACTTAGCAATATTATAGCTATATGACGGCGGTCTGTAAATAATCGAGTCTGGACCAGGTGATCCAGATTAATATCATGAGCATCGATCCACGCAATTGGGATCGATGACATGCATCAACCAAGTCAGCGAGCCTGACCACCCGATCCGGTTAGTTGGGGAAAAGGGAGAAGTATATGACTCTAATTTGAAGTGGAGTCGATCTCACACTGCTCTTATGATGACAAATACCCTGAAACAAGAAGCACCACATGTTTAAAAACCCAGGACCTGTCCTTGACCCGTATTTATGGATTCCAAACTTGCGAGACCAGCAGTATTATAAATGTGTCTTTTTTTGAAAATGTTTGTGAGGAACATTGATATCATCTGCCGATGCAGACCATGTAAAGAGTGGTGTACGTTATTGTAGATTTCTCCTGTCGCCACCTGATTCAGAAATTGAGCAGTGTTTGCGTGGATTCGGTATACATTGTCAATTTCATTGCCCCACGGGGGCGGTCGGGTAGCCTAGTGGTTAAAGCGTTCGCTCGTCACGCCGAAGACCCGGGTTCGATTCCCGACATGGGTACAATGTGTGAAGCCCATTTCTGGTGTCCCCCGCCGTGAAATTGCTGGAATATTGCTAAAAGCGGCGTAAAACCAAACTCACTCACTCACTCACTCAAAATGCAGGGAAGAAGACATCTTGAGATTTAAGAGGGAGCAAAAACAGTAAATTTATTGCAAGCAGGATGGAATCAACGTCCAGCTGGTCGCGTTTAAATGTTATGTACAGAGGTTATTGGCAGTCTATGATATAAAGGGACAGTAAAACATTTATTTGTTCGAAACATATTGACCATGTTATTTTCAATTTGTATTTCCGTTTACAAGCAGTGCTGATCTGGACAATGTGTGTAGTGCTGGCACCATTGGTTGAGATTTGATTCCTCTCCCAGAATCACTTGCAGATTTGGACGAAGTTTGCCGCCCTTACACCATAGGTTGAGATTTGATTCCTCTCCCAGAATCACTTGCAGATTTGGACGAAGTTTGCCGCCCTTACACCATTGGTTGAGATTTGATTCTTCTCCCAGAATCACTTGCAGAGTTGGACGAAATTTTGCCGCCCTTACCACATTGGTTGAGATTTGATTCTTCTCCCAGAATCACTTGCAGATTTGGACGAAGTTTGCCACCCTTACCACATAGGTTGAGATTTGATTCTTCTCCCAGAATCACTTGCAGAGTTGGACGAAGTTTGCCGCCCTTACACCATTGGTTGAGATTTGATTCTTCTCCCAGAATCACTTGCAGAGTTGGACGAAGTTTGCCGCCCTTACCCCATAGGTTGAGATGTGATTCTTCTCCCAGGATCACCAGCTGATCTGGACAATATAAGCAGTGCTGGCCCCATGTGGATTCCGCTTTCACCATTGAAAGTTACATGAAAAATGAACCATGACAACAATACATTTATGTTTTATTAATACAGAATATCAATGTACTAATTCTGCCTTTATACAAACTGACTTGCATATGCTGGCTGCATGAACAATCAAAGATAGCCGTAAAGACAATTAAATGTGTCATTTGATTCATTATAATTTCAAATACCTGTAATTCATTCACAACGTGAACAATGTATGAGGTTATTAAACCAAACAATATTTCAGATATTTTGTTGGCTGTTGCACCATACATACAGTTCAAACTCAAACGTACGATTTAATTTATATATCCGATATTTAATACATGCTTATCTTTTCACGATAACTTGGTGTCATCACTAATATTCAGTGATCCATTTATATAAGTTTTACAGCCATTTTGCCCAATCTGATTTGTCGGATAATTGAATTCTGGTTATACTCTGGTGTTGTTTTATATTTACGATATATCTTTATTGAACCGCAAAATAACACCATTTCAAAATACATGAAAGTCTCCCATTGAAATATCAATTTAAAAGAAGACGGAGAAGTCTCCGTTGTCATCGAGACAATTTAATGGCAGTTAGTTCATCATCATAGGCAAGGCATGGCGGTTTGTCAACACGAGCGCACGGACAGCACGTGGTTACATAAAAAATATGAATCGGGTGCATACAAATGTCGAACCGGAACGGAATGGCAGACAAACGAAATCACACCCCACGACATGTTCACAGCATCAGGAAAAGGGGAACAGCCTTACTATAATTCTTACTATTATTGAACAGCATTCATTCATTACTTTATGACATCAATGCTTTTTTGGGGAGGTGTCTCGTTTTTTACATTAGCCTGTATCCAAATTGAATGTAAACCGCCAAAAAGTGACACAAATATTGAACATGATGGGTCGCAAAACGCAGCTTAACAAACAACCACGGTACAAAGCTCCGAATGCTTTCCATGAAAAACAAAATTCACTTGCGTTTCCTTGTGCCTTCCCCGATAAACGACACCCATATAAGTGGATCCAACATTCTTGTGTCGATACTAGCGCCATGCCCAGACTTACGGAGATAAACCAGACTTTAGGACGACTGCATGCTGGTCAGACAGCACGAACTGTTGCCAGTGATTTAATTGATAATAACCACGTGAGAACCATCTACAGATTATAGCAACGATACCAGGTTACCAACAGCATGCCGTCTTCCTAAAGTCGTTAAAAACGAGATGCCTCTACAAACTGCATTGGTATTTCAATGGGAAACTTTCATGAAGCGGTTCAGTATAGTTACAATCTCATTCAAATCAGATCTCAGTTCTCGCTATCGCTAAACAAAGATCTGAGGACATCCCATTACGGGTCACGTCAGAACGACCTTTCATCCGACCAATCAAAGCGTCGCTTACCAGATCCTGAAAGTGACAGTCGGAATGTGTTGTCTAATCATGCAACCTCGAAAACGTTAACACGGGGTATTCCGAACGACAGTTACGACCCGTACGACTGATTCCGTCAAAATTATCGTCTACCTCTCGCTTCCGTGGGATAAACATTTGAACGGAAGAGGCGTTGCACAGTACGTGGGAAGCACTGCCATACAATCTCAACCATATATTAGACATTCCGGAATGTTCGTTTGTTCAGTTTTCAAACTTTTAATCGAGAACTGTGTCAACATATTTTTCAAGCGTAGTCTGAAATGGAAGTCGCCACATGTCCCAGCGAGAACTAAGATCTGATTTTAATGAGATTGAGTATAGTTATGAAATACTGTACATATCTGAAAACGTAAAATTGGCTCATCACTCGAGTGAAATAACATCTTATGCCGAACATCTTTCAGTCTGTCTCAGTAACCAGTGGTTTTCAGATAATTTCAACATTACAACTCGTTAAAAAAATAGATCACACAGAAAAAACGGATGCATATCGTTTTCTACTCATACCTCAATGAACCAACATATGTTGTTTGTTTGTTTGTTGTTTAACGCCGCACTAAGCAATATTCCAGCTATATGACGGCGGTCTGCAAATAATCGAGTCTGGACCAGACAATCCAGTGGTTGATATCATGAGCATCGATCTACGCAACTTGGATATGATGACATGCATCAACCAAGTCAGCGATCCTGACTACCCGATCCCGTTAGTCGCCTCTTACGACAAGCATCATTGCCACTTCTGGTAAGCATGGGTTGCTGAAGAGCCGGAACCCGAATCTTTACGGGTCTCCAACATATGTCCCAAAAGGCAAGCGTTACTGCTTAATAATTATGGATATATATGAACTGTCATGACTTCTTGTACTGGATGCTTCTGGAATATTGTTTGTTTGTTTGTTTGTTCTTTAACGCCGCAATCAGACATATTCCAGCTATATGACGGCGGCCTCTACATAGTCCGGACCACACACATCAGTGATTGATATTACGATCAACGATCCACGCTTTAAGGGCACAAGGACGCACAATCGCCCAAGTGACCAAGTCTGACCACCCATCCATTAACTTTTCTTACAAGAATATTTTCCTAGAAATCAGTTTTTACCCGGAATTCCCAAGTGTTCTTCTAAAAAAGCACATGATAAACTTTTGAATATATTTGCATATATTAATCAAAGAAAATATTCATATACTCTTCTGTTGAACCTTAATAACACTGGCCGTGTATTTGTTTGAATGAAGCAGCTGATGACGCTCTGGTTTCATGGTTCATAAGCTTGACATCCATATTGGTGACCCAGTCATACGGAACAACAATGTCGTAGAATTGCCTCCCTTAGGGGTAACAGAATCCTATGATCGCGGGTTTGAATCCCAGATTCGCGCTGATAATAAACGTTTAAGACCTGTATCATTTCGGGCTTTCCTCCCACATCAAGGTGACATACCTTTTAATATTATCAGGATGTCGGTGTAAATCAGGGCGCGTACAGGTCACACAGGTCATATAACACGTGAAACGCACGAGCACGAGTAAGATGCTAATTAGTGAGTGAGTGAGTATGGCTTTACGCCGCTTTTAGCAATATCACGGCGGGACATTGAACATTGTATCCATGTTGGTCATCGAGCTCGGGCCTCCGGCGTGACGAGTGAACGCTTTAACCTCTAGGCTACCCGATCGCCCCGGTAAGATGCTGAAGGATCATAATCCGAAGCTAAGATTCGAAATGCTGGAAATAACAGTGTCATTGTCACATTTTACTCAAAAGCAAACTGAATGTTTACGCGGGTTGACGTACAGGTGCGTCCGTCTGGTATCCATCGGGATGTCCACGATGTTCTGTGAAAGGACATGTTTAACCATCTCCGCATGTCCCCCAATACAGGCCACGTGAAATATATTGTTACTATCATCATCCACAAGTGTTGCATCAGCATTCTTACTGACAAGCAGGTCGAACACATCTCTGTGTCCCTTCTCTGCAGCAAACATCACCGGAGTTCGCCCGTGCTGCCCCGTGCTGTTGATGTCCACAATGTCCTGGGAGAGGACGTACTGCACCATCTGCACTTGTCCTCCAATACAGGCCATGTGGAGTATGTTGTTCCCGTCGTCGTCGATAACCGACACATCGTCTCCTTTACTCACGAGCAAGTCAAACACGTCTCTGTGACCTTTCTCTGCTGCCAACAACACCGGCGTCCTTCCGTACTGTCCGCTACTTTTGATGTCCAGTGGGCCATGCGAGAGGACATAGTTCACCATCTCCACATGTCCCCCAATACAGGCTACGTGAAGTATGTTGTTACCGTCGTCATCTGCTAGAGACACATCACCCCCTTTACTTACAAGAAGATCAAACACAATTCTTTGTCCCTTTTCTGCTGCAATCATTAGAGGTGTCCTTCCGAATTGACCTCTACTGTTGGTGTCAACAATGTCCTGTGAGAGGATATAATTGACCATCTCCACCTGGCCTCCGATACAGGCTAAATGAAGGATGTTGTTCCCGTCATCGTCCACAACCGACACATCCCCTCCTTTAGGAACAAGTAAATCAAACACCTTTCTATGGCCCCGCCATGCTGCCGACATCATAGGTGTTCGGCCATATTGTCCTCTAACGTTGATGTCCACGACGTCCAGTGAGAGGACATACTTCACCATGTCGATATGTCCCCCGATACAGGCCAAATGGAGGATGCTGTTACTGCTGCTGTCCACGAGGGACACATCCCCACCGTTGCTTACCAGCAAATCAAATACGTCTCTGCGCCCTTTACCTACCGCAGACATCAATGGCGTCCTTCCGTATTGCCCCCCGCCGTTGATGTCCACAATGTCCTGAGAGAGCACGTGTTTCACCATGTCCACACTCCCACCGATGCAAGCAACATGGAGGATGCTGTTTCCGCTGCCATCCACACGCGACACATCACCACCTTGACTCACAAGAATATCCAACACTTCCCCATGACCCTTCTCCGCTGCAAACATCACGGGTGTCCGGCCGTACTGGCCTCTGCTGTTGATGTCCACAATGTCTTGTGAAAGGACATACTGAACAATGTCCACATCGCCGCCCAAGCACGCCAGGTGAAGGATGTTATTGCCGTTATCGTCGCCCAGCGTCAAGTCACCTCCTTTGCTCACAATTAAATCAAACATCTCTCTCAGCCCCCTCCGTGCTGCCACCATCACTGCTGTCCTGCCGTACAGTCCCCGACTATTGACGTCCTCCTCCACCAAGACCTGCCGGACACTATCCAGGTCAGCCGCTCTGCAGGCAATATGGAGGGCAGTGTCTGACCTCTCTACATCCTCTGGACTAGGTCTGTCTGGTGACGCATCTGGCAAAATAATTAACTAAAATTATTGTTTGTTTGATTGTTGTTTAACGCTGCACTCAGCAATATTCCAGCTCTATGGCGGCGGTCTGTAAATAATCTAGTCTGGACCAGACAATCCAGTGATTGACATCATGAGCATCGAACTACGCAATTGGGATACGATGACAAGCAATAAAGGAAGTCAGCGAGCCTGGCCACCCGATCTATTTAGTCGCCTCGTACGACATTAGGTTACTGCAGACCCATATTCGTACCAGGAATCCCGATATGTGATTACAATTATTGACGGTGATGGGTGTTACAGGACTGGGCGGGGACACGGGTGGCCAAGTCGTCTAAGGCGCCGCGATTCGCTGCGCAGAGTTGCGTCCCTTGGACACACCAGAAACCTATGATTGTGGGTTCGAATCCCGGTTCGCTCCCATTATGTTTCTAGGTTTGTCAGGACCATACCCGTGCTCGTGGGTTTCACCGAAGTGGTAAACGTCTGAGACCAGCATCACTTCGGGCTTTCCTCCCACATTAAGCTGACACGCCGTGATATAACTGTAATACTGTTAAAAGCGGCGTTAAACCCAACTCACTCACTCAGTACAGGACTGAGCTCAGACAAACTTGCAGACTCAGCAAGAACAATTGAAGTTGTAAAATCTATCTGAAATGTTATCATGTGTAACGATGTGACAGATAATGATCACTGCATAGTTTCATAGATGGCAACATCTGAACCTGGACTGGATATGGACTGTGGAGCAGAGACCCCCTTTAAGGATGTCTAGTGGTCTGTCTTCAGAATAGTGAACTATTCCTTAGATGTCGTTTCTAAAATCTAGACGATTAAATCTAACTGTCAAAATTATAATAGAAAGTGATTAGTGTGCAGTTTCTTGCGATGGATGTACTGGGTATGGAGTTGCTTGTATCCATGGTGACGCTCCTCGTTCACCGGAAGGTGACTTAAGTCGCACCACGGACATGCGCATGAGTCTTAGTCTCGTGGCACCACGCATGTGAAGATTATTAGATAAACAATAGTCCAACATAAGAAAGCAAGGACGCTATGAATATGTCTGTCGTAGCTTCCCCAGCGTTAACATCCTGGGTATGTAATAAATAACATATATTTTTAACATTTTGTTTGTTGTTTAACGCCACAATCGGCAATAGTCCATCTATATTACGGCGGTCTGTAAATAACAGAGGCCAGACAATCCAGTGATTGACATCATGAACATCGACCCACACAATTGGGATCAATGACATGCATCAACCAAGTCAGCGAGCCTGACCACCCGATCACGTTAGTCGCCTCTTACGACAAGCATGGGCTGCTGAAGACCTATTCTAACCCGGATGTTCACGTGGGGGTGTAATAGTACAATCATCACGGGGTAGCTGATAGTGTCATCTGGGACATCAGTGACAGTGATGGGCTCCACCACTGACAGCTAGGCGATGGTCACATACTGTGTACATAACTTGGATGTCGACCAGCTGAAGGTTTATCTACATATGTTATGTGAACACCTATCGGTTAACACTGGTACATTCTGCTCACACAAACAAACAACCTGTCGGCCTAAATACATCTGTATCTAAGGTACAACGCCAGGACAGCGGCCCACCTCATTCGTGACCAACTCGTGTTATTCCGGGACAAGCCGAATAGCGACTCGTGCCTCTCTCGTGGCCATTTTTGCGACCTGGTTCCGTCTTAGCGCAAACGGGCATACATAAAACAATTGTCAACTTCTTACATAATGGGTCACATATATTTCTCCATATATTATTCATATTTCAGATGCAATTTAAAGCACATCGGAACGTACAGAATTATACAGTATGATAGAACATATTTAACTGTGTCTTGGGTATATTTTTAGATGCAAGACATATGTAAAATCAAAAATTATTTCTGAGGGATTCTTTGACGAAGAACTTGAAATCATACGCGCATTTTGATTGGTTTGTCGTATTTTCGCACATATCATTCATCGATAGGGGGACGAGTCTTCTTGCAGGTTACGGAAAGGGGCGAGTGGTGACGAATGTCTCATGGCCATTTTTGCGACCGGGTTCCGTCTTAGCGCAAGCAAACAGGCATACCTAAAACAATGGTCAACTCGTTGCGTAATGGTTCACATATATTTCCCCATATATTATATATATTTCAGATACAAAATAAAGCACATCTGGACATGCGGAATTATACAGTATGATTGAACACATTTAACTGTGTCTTGGGTATATTTTTAGATGCAAAACATATGAAAAATAAAAAATTATATCTGAGGGATTCTTTGACGAAGAACTTGAAATCATACGCGCATTTTGATTGGTTTGTCGTATGCTCGCACATAACATTCATCGAGAGGGGGACGAGTCTTCTTGCAGGTTACGGAAAGGGGCGAGTGGTGACGAATGCGGCCTACCTCTGTTTTCGAACCATTGAAGTTAATAGTTAAAGTCTTAATGTAAGAACGGTTGCTATGGAAAGGTTTTGTTTGTTTATTTGTTGTTTAACGCCGCACTCAGCAATAGTACAGTTATTTGACGGCGGTCTGTAAATATTCGAGTCTGGACCAGACAATCCAGCGATTGGCATCATGAGCATCGTTCCGTGCAATTGGGATGCGATGACATGCATCAACCAAGTCAGTGAGTGTGACCACCCGATCCCGTTAGTCGCCTCTTACTGAATTGTCTGGTCCAGACGGAATATGGCGGAATAAGTGTTCCTGTACCTACCGTGTACGTCTTGTCCCCCCTGCTGGAGTCTAAGGTTAAATTGGCGGAGCTGTAAGAAAAATATCATGACGTCATACGAATACTAAAGACAGAGACAACATGTCACGCTCCAAAATCAAGGAGGAAGATTATAGTGCTTTATCTTTCAATAAATAAGTGATTGAATATTGTGTTGTTGTTTTTTTGTCGTTGTCTTCACTGTATCACAGTAGCCTGGGAAAACAAGTCTAGGCTTGGGTAGCGAGTAGGGCGACGAGCCACGCCGTCAGGGTACCATGGCACACATACTGCTAGGCCGCACCATCTCTTAATCAGTCCGTATGATTTGTTTGTTTGCTTGTTTGTTTGTTGTAAAACACCGCACTCAACAATATGCCAGCTATATGACGACGGTCTGTAAATAATCTGGGTGTGTCAGTCAAGTGACTGACATCATGAGCATCGACACGCGCAATTGGGATACGATGACATCAGCCTGACCACCCGATCCCGTAAGTGGCCTATTGCAAGCATGGCTGTTGAAGACAAATTCTAACCTGGATCTTCACGGGCAGAGCCCATATGACAAACATGGGGTACAGGGGCCTTTTCCAAGATCCACAACAGATTATTAATGGGGGCGGTCGGGTAGCCTAGTGGTTAAAGCGTTCGCTCGTCACGCCGAAGACCCGGGTTCGATTCCCGACATGGGTACAATGTGTGAAGCCCATTTCTGGTGTCCCCCGCCGTGATATTGCTGGAATATTGCTAAAAGCGGCGTAAAACCATATTCACTCATTCACTTTTTATTAATGTATTGGAATATACTTCCAGTGAGTAAAATTATCTGGACACTGTAGTTTCATTCACATAGACATTTTGTAGTCCACCTCAGCGACTATCTAATCATCTTGTACAGGTTGGGATTTATTTAAATATCCCCTGTGTAAAGTTCTACAAGAGACACCTGTACTTGCCTGCATGATCTGATCTCCATCCATTGTGTCCCCTGCAAGGAGCACCAGCTGACGTCACATCATATGGACTAGAAAGCGCACAGAGCACACGCAATGCCAGGAGTTTTCACGAAACAATTCCAGTACTCCCTATACAGAATGGGCTCTGTCTACATGTTCCAGCTTGGAGAGTACAAAGTGATGACGACTTTCACAAAATATCTGAAACATTTCAAAGAAAATACGCAGATACAGTGTTTGATGAAGGTCAGTGATGACAAGACTAAAGACTAGTCGGAAAGAGTGAGTGAGTAAGTTGGGTTTAACGCCGCTTTTAACAATATTCCAGTTATATCGCGGCGTGTCAGCTTAATGTGGGAGGAAAGCCCGAAGTGATGCAGGTCTCAGACGCTTACCACTTCGGTGAAACCCACGAGCACTGGTATGGTCCTGACAAATCTAGAAACGTCATCGGGGCGAACCGGGATTCGAACCCACAATCATAGGTTTCTGGCGTGCCCAACTCTGCACAGCGAATCGCGGCGCCTTAGAAGACTGGGCCACCCGTGCCCCCTGGTAGGAAAGAAGCCAAAGGTCATGGAGGTCTTTGACTAGTCGTGAGACGCGATGGGGTCCTACAGTCAAGACATGACCCTACGTCCCGTGATGTAGTGTCTAGACTGGAGGACCTCATCGCGGTTAGTCTTTGACGTTCACCACCAGCATGGGAATGGTGTCAGGCAAGGATAATGATCAGAGCGGACCTTGAATTTAAACCCAGGACCAGCTTAATCGTGCAGTGTGCGCAGCCTCATTTTCTTCTTCACCTCACTCACTTTGTTCACCTTATTCCATAATACGGGGCAGTGAAGTTGCCTAGTGGTTAAAGCGTTCGTTCGTCACGCCGATGTGTGAAGCCCATTTCTGGTGTCCCCCGCCGTGAAATTTCTGGAATATTGTTAAAAGTGGCGTTAAAACCACACTCCGTCACTCAATATACCGGGGACATGCATCAGCTGTATCACGGCGGATTGTAAATAACCGAGACTGGACCAGACAATCCAGTGATTGAGAGCATAAGGAAAGATCCACGTCAACAGGACAAGACGGCACCCAATCTCAACCGGGGGGGGGGGGGGGGGGGGGTATTTACATAGAAAAATTATCAAAATAGTCTGGCCTTCATATTTGTGTTTCAAGGACTATTCCTTTATCGTACTTTTTACTTGATAAAAGTGCACTGTGTGATCACGTGTACAGTATCTGCTGCAATGTTGTCGTGGGGGGATAGGTTGACGTTCCGGGGTTGGTGGCGGTGTTGGTGGGGCGTATCCAACCCATTGCTACATGTCACTCCCTGCAAACAGAGATACACATGGATATGTAGAATGTATATCGGGAATATCCTCACGTCAAAGTCACTGCAGTACAATTTCCATATTTAATCTGACCCGTCTATCAAGTGCATGATCTACACCCTGTTTTCCATAAAATCAAATCATTATAGTATCACCCGAGTGAGTGAGTGAGTGAGTTGGGTTTAACGCCGCTTTTAACAGTATTCCAGTTATATCGCGGCGTGTCAGCTTAATGTGGGAGGAAAGCCCTAAGTGATGCAGGTCTCTGACGTTTACCACTTCGGTGAAACCCACGAGCACGGGTATGGTGCTGACAAACCTAGAAACATAATTGGGGCGAACCGGGATTCGAACCCACAATCATAGGTTTCTGGCGTGCCCAAGGGACGTAACACTGCACAGCGAATCACGGCGCCTTAGACGACTGGGCCACCCGTGCCCCCCTAGTATCACCCGAGACGACCAACACAAATGTACATATTTGCGCACGAGTTGAGTTTTACATCATTCCAATCATATCACGGTGTCAGCTTAATGTGGGAGGAAATCCCGAAGTGATTCAAATTTTTAACTCTTCCAGTTCTAGGAAATCTACGAGCACGATATGGTGCCGACAAACCAATAAGCACGATATGGTGCCGACAAACAAATAAGCACGATATGGTGCCGACAAACAAATAAGCACGATATGGTGCCGACAAACAAATAAGCACGGGTATGGTGCCGACAAACCAAGAATCATGATAAGCCCGAATCTGGGATTCGAACCCACGATCAAGGGGTTCGGGAGGTAACTCTGCACAGGGAACGGCGACAACTGGCTTACCCACCCTAATGGTCCCTAAACCATAACACTGTCAGCAAAACGTCAAAGAAATCATAAAAAAATGCGCATGGTTGTTTAGTAATATCTGTCAGACGTACACTGAAAACTAAATCGGGAACGGTAATAGCGTTCAGGGAATGTCTGAACTCTAAACTCTAAAGCTGCACCGATACGAATGATCCAGTAATTCAGTATGCTTACACGTTTGGGATATCAACGAACCCAAGTCAAGGTCAGGGCCGAAACTACCATTGTAGCAGAAAAGCAATAATATTATTGTTTCACCTAAAAAAGCACAATTTATTTTACACCAAAACAAGCACAAGTAAAGCTCAATTTACCATCTACGCAGTAAGTTATTAATTAAAACTCTAAACGGTCGGACGTGATATTTATTGTCTCACTTGAAAATCGAAAGCTTTACTATGCAATTTAGGATTTTAGTGGTAGATAAATTGTGACGTAAGCAAATCGATCTCACAAAGTTATTTTAATTATAATGATAGGCCGGCTCGTGTTAAAATATGAAAAAATAAATAACCATCACATACATTATCTATTCGTTTTAATGTTCACATTTCATTTGTCATTATAGATGTTTCTTGGATGAAAGGGGCGGTCGGGTACCCTAGTGGTTAAAGCGTTCGCTCGTTACGCCGAAGACCCGGGTTCGAATCCCGACATGGGTACAATGTGTGAAGCCCATTTCTGGTGTCCCCCGCCGTGATATTGCTGGAATATTGCTAAAAGCGGCGTAAAACCAAACTCACTCACTCACTCTTGGATGAAAGTCGAAAATGGGTTGGTGAAACATGTATATATAATACTAAAAACATAATATAAAATTACCAATATTTGTTCAAAATAAAATGTAACGTACACCCCAAAATGCAGGAAATAACCTTTAAGAGCATCTAATATTTAAAATATTTGGGTAAGCATGCCCCAAAACCCTACAAGCGGGCCCTCGTAAAATTGGTTTTACTTAAACAATAAATTAGCCTAGTTTCCCCTGATGGCATTTGTGGGCTTACCATGAAACGTCGCCATTGATTCCACGTACACCTTGATCCCAATACACATACCACGCACGGATATTCTCATACGAATGTGTGCAGCAGGTGCATTCCATGCGATGTGTGATTTTAGGCTGAGCCGTTATTGACATAAGGCTGAACTCATGATGATGCATTATCGACGCAGCTTATGTCGGATGATGTATTGTCACGAGTCTGTTATCTATAACAGCGTGAATATGTACAATATTGGAGTGGTATGACGAATAATGATTACCTACCTCCAACGAGTATTCGTGAACACATTAAATAGATCTTTGCATGGACAGGCATATCACTGATAAAGTCGGCCATTAACCCGAAAGGATTACCCTAGTGGGCGTGTCCAGCAGGTCGCTCACATGTCGCCTGGAGTAAATACCCCGAACAACGACAAACACATACAGTAAACTACGGTTATAACGAACTCGAAGGGACCACTAATTTTAGTTCGTAATAACCGTAGTTCGTTATAAGCATATAAACAGCATTTATACAACAAATGGTCGGGACTAAAAATAAGTTCGTGATATCGGTCAGTTCGTTATAAGCGTGTTCGTTATAACCGTAGTTTACTGTAGTGTCATATTGACAGAGCTCCGTCGCGTATTTTGGACAACAGGTCTCCCTGCTTCTATTCCGTGTGTTTCATAGCTACTAAATATACTTCTCAACAATTGCTAAGGACCCACCTTTGACGTAAGATGGCTATATTGTTCCTTAGCAAATGTCGAGTAGTATAGTTCAACCCTCAGATCTCACATTGCGGTTATCTGTGAGAATAGTCTCGGCAACTCTACATCTTAGTGAATTTGATTCAAGTTGTTCAATCTTTATCTGTTCACTAAGTTTTATTTCGTATCCATACCATGCACGTGTGCAATAATTATTCGGACAGGAATTCGGAAAACAGTCGATTCTGATTGGTCAATCAGAGCTTTTAAATCACAATTACCAGCTCTGATTGAAACAGTTGCTTTGAAGGTCGAGTCATCGCATATGTGCGTTTGATACCAAATACAACTTGGCGCGTTTAAATCTACAGCTAAGGGCTTAGTCACACATTCAGGATTTTTACTGCCGTCCTTGATAGGAGCATTCCCGATTAAGATTTGTCAAAAGTCTGATCAAGATCCTGTGATTCGTGGCGGGAAATTCACAAACAATCAGATATTTGCTATGGAAGCGTCCCGAATCAGCCGTTTCCTGCGAATTCGTCCCGATTCTCCCGTTCTTGCATCTTCCGCATGGTAAAAAATAACCAAATCTGTCCCGACAGCGTCCCGATTCTCCCGAATGCGATCCGACAGAGATCAGACAGTGACCGGATAGTTAACCGACAAAGACGGTTCGCATTCGGCAAGATCTGGACGCAATCTGGACTGAATCGACAAGAAACGGCAATGAACAATTCATGCCCGTTCATCATGACAGAGTCCTGATCCAAAGGACACCGTCCGGACTACAAAGGACATTGTTACGATTTTGATCCGATACGGCAGAATCTGTCACGACATAGTCTCGATTGTAATCCGACTAGACAAAATCGGCTGAGCTTCCCGAATGTTACGGGACGCACCATACTGTCGGGAGTGCTTTTTCGACCTCTCTGGACCTTTCCCGATCCGTAGGACTCTGTTACGAACGTATACGACTGCGTTCAGACAATGATAGGACATTCCAGGTCATTGAGGATAGCAATCCGACTTTTTCACTTTTCGTGTCGTAGCGCTGTCTGATCTCAGACGGGAGCCATAATCTACGGAAGCCTTTTGTGGCCATTTGTTGTTGTTGTTTTTTTTTTGGGGGGGGGTCGATACTATCTTGAAATTTCAAGATACTAAGTTGAAATTTCAAGATACTAAGTTGAAATTTCAAGATACTAAGTTGAAATTTCAAGATATAGAAGTTGAAATTTCAAGATACTTTCTTGAAATTTCAACTTTGTTTCTTGAAATTTCAACTTAGTACATGTATCTTGAAATTTCAAGATAGTATCGAAAAACATTTTTTTTTTAAAAATGGCCCTAAAAGGCTTCCGTGGCATCTTGATATTTCAAGATTATTCACTTATTCACGTATTTTTACATCTTAGGATGTCAACTTATTATCTTGAAATTTCAAGATAGTATCTTGAAATTTCAACTTAGTTTCTTTAAATATCAAGATAGTATCGAAACAAATAAAAAAACAAATGGCCCTAAAAGGCTTCCGTAATAATCGGCACTGCGTGAACCTGGCCTAACCTACCTCTACTTCAGAAATTAAGTTTGTTTTTACCCGATGTGCAGTGTATTAAAGTACAGCTTTTTCCCGAACTATTAATAGTTAAATCACAAGGAGACTTTGACATTCCACACATGGGTGGAGACCAAACATTTCATCTGAAAGTCGAGGCGCCTTAATTGAAAATCCTCGAACAGGGCGAACTGATGGGCTGTTCCACTTAATTGCCTGCACCCTTGCGTTAAGAGACAATATACATTTCAAACATAATTAAATAACACTAAAATGGGTAATTTAGGGTATAAAACGTCACATTATATCATTAACACCAGCCAGAAATCGCATAGTTCCCTCGATCTAATGATAACTTGGAAAATCCAATAATTCTGACAAATTTCTCAAAATCAACACGTAAAAATCTCAGGCGCAGAACTCCGTCACTTGCATTATGCTGAACAGAATAAAAAATACGTCCATATTGAACGGCGTTAAAAAACGACTGACTGTATTGTCAGGGACGACAATTAGGTGTGCAATGACAACGTCACAAACTGCAACATGTGGTGATAATTCTACTCCGATACCACTCCGGAGAAACACGAACCTCGACCCGACAGAATTAGACACTTAAGAAGTGAGTGAGTTGGGTTTAACGACGCTTTTAACAGTATTCCAGTTATATCACGGCGTGTAAGCTTAATGTGGGAGGAAAGCCCGAAGTGATGCAGGTCTCAGACGTTTATCACTTCGGTGAAACCCACGAGCACGGGTATAGTGCTGACAAACCTAGAAACATAATCGGGGCGAACCGGGATTCGAACCCACAATCACTTCTGGCGTCCCAAGGGACGCAACTCTGCACAACGTATCGCGGCGCCTTAGACGACTGGGC